CCCAGGCTCGAGGCAAGCTTTCAGTGCGATTTGCACTTTTAGATCCATTGCCTTGCCCGGGCACCTCATCCCTCGCAGCGTCCGTGGGTCGTGGCAGCTCGTGGCTGCCCGGGGCAGGGCTGGCAGGGCAGGGGCATGGGGGGCTTGTGCTGCCAGGGCTGCTGTACCCCGGGGTTGGGACTGCTGCACCCCTGGGTTGGGACTGCTGTGTCCCTGGGCCAGTGCTGACAGTGCTGGGGAGCCCCAAGCCCCAGCAGGAGCTCTCACAGCCCTGGGCCAGTGCTGATGGTGCTGACAGTGCCCCAAGCCCCAGCAGGAACCCTCACAGCCCTGTGCCCAGCGCTCCTCTCCAGAGCACAGCCCCTGGGCACACCAGGGCGTGGGAGACCAGCCAGGGCAGATTTGCCCTGTGGAAAGGGAATGAATGGTTTTTACCAGGCTCATGCAGTCTCTATGTGTTTTGACCTGTCAGGAGTTGTTTCAGAATAAGTGTACCTTTCCTATTTTTTTTTTAATTTTTTTTTTTTTTACCCTGCCTAAACAATGAATTCCATATCAGGTACTAACAAACATGGCTCATCTCAAAAGAATTCATAATTAACTGAAAGAATTCATAATTAACTTCCACTGCAATTTGTTCGGGTCTTTCTTTGCATAACATGTGAGTTGTGGTGGGGGTTTGAAATGCTCTGAAGTGTACAGTGTCTCTGTGTGAGTGCTGCTGAGCCTACCAAGAGCTAACCTGCTGTAACTGCACAGTGTGTGTGTTTGTATTTTAGAGTTCTCTGACAGACCTGTTTTTCTTTTTCTCTTTCTCTTCCTTGTCTTCTTTCTGCATTGGCAGAGCATCTTGGATTTGAATTAAAGGGTATGGAACAACCATTCATTTATTAATCAGAAGCCATTAAGAGCTTCCAACATTATATTTATGGCTTTAATGGGATGATTAAAAAATCAGCTGTTCTGTTCTCTTCCCTGGCACCAAGATAGATGTTTGGATTGAAAACAACAACAAAACAACAACCAAAAGCAAAACAAAGCAAATCACAAATTCTAAATGCAAACCTACGAAAATGCAGGTGTATTTTTAGCAGCACTTTTTTCTTTGTTCCAAGCAGCAGCGTGGTGTGTGTGGCATGACTGGGATGTTGCAATTGCCATACATCTCCATTCAACATGCTTTTGTGTATTTAACTGAAAACCTGGAGTCTCATGTCCATCCAAAAGGTTGCCAGCAGGCACTGTTTGGGAACAGGCAGGAATTCCAGGAATGGGAAGACAAGTTCTAGAATTATCAGGGCTGTTATAGAAGCTGCCATCCCAGACACACTAACCTCCACCAGATCCTGCAAAGGGTCAGGATGAGCTTTTCCATTCCTCCTCCCAAAATTTAGCAGCTTGTTTTGGTTCTTGGGCAGGTTGAAATTGTTCCAAGAAAGATGGCAAGAGTCAAGTTAGTCTAGGAAACCGTCCCAGGGAAGTCAGTAGTTTCCCATGAGAGTGGAGGGTGTAAAGCTGAGCACCCCAGTGGCAAGCCTGGGAAAACACTGCAGTAAGTTAAATGCTTTTAAAAATATCCCTTTGGGCATTTACCTGCTCCTGCCCAGCTGCACGTAATCATATGATTTTCTTTCTATTCTCCTCAGTCTGGTTTTAGATATATATCAAATATATATATATATATATATCTCAATATATTATTCCCTTGAATAAGCAGCTGGGAAATCAAATCCTTGAGGCAAGTTTTCCTTGGAGTGTACAAGGCAAGAGCAGGGAGGGCTGGTCAGGAGGGAGCAGAGAGATTGAGCAGCCTGGGATAGTGGAAGGTGCCCCTGCCCATGGCAGCAGGGTTGGAACAAGTTGAGTTTTAAGGTCCCTTCCAACCCAAACCATTCAAGAATTCTGTGATGATTCTATGATTGACCACTTAAAAACACTGTGTCAGCCAGAGCAGATCTTCACATGAAAATTCTTCAGTTCCCTTTGCTAGAGGTATGGGGACACCAATCTTTCAGTTGTGGATCCTAAATTTCCTTCTGAGGTCCCTCCTGAGGTGGAGGGACATTCACTAACTCAGGAAATGTATCTCCTCTAGTTTTTGCATGCCTGATCCCCCAGGACTGCCGTGCATCCCCCTGGTGCAGGAAACGTGTGAATTTTATAGTCAGGGTGCTTCAGAGAAAGTGGTGCTGCTAATGCTAATACACTTGAACAAACTTTAAAATTGAGGATTTTTGACATCCCTTTTTTGTTGACCTTTTGTCCTTTTCCTCATCCATTCTCAATGTCATCACAGAACCGCACACATCCTGTTCCCAGTCTGCAGTTGTCTCTCCTCTGTCATTTGTCTGTCCCTGTCATGCGTTGCTGTGACACCATGGCTGGACTGTGGCTGTGTCGGCATTGTGTGGCACCACATGGTTTGTTCATAGTGTTTGCTGCTGTCAAAGTGATGATGCTGCTGATGAAGACGTGGTGTTTGTAGAGCCTAGAGACACAAATGGACCAGTCCTGCTCTGGGATCTTTCCCGCTCAAATACAAAGTCGCAGTGTGCGTTCTCTTTATTTCCTTTCCGTTGTTGTTGAGGTGGTTTTGTGCAACGTGAAGATTGAGCATCAGCTTTAATGAGATGTTGGGAGCCAAGCTAAATTACTATCAGCAGATCATTCAGTTTTTAGTTTGCAGCAGTGATGCACAGCCTCACACTTCACTGCTTCATGTAGCAGAGCTGTCAGCTCGAGACAGAGAGGCCAAATCTGCATTTCTGATGAACTGAAGCATTCCCTGTGAGATTCAGGTGAATGTTCAGGACAGGCAGACACACAGGAGTCAGGATCCCACACTGACATGATCACCAGAACAAAGGCTGGGATTTGAGCCTTGGCCAAAGAATTTTGTCCTGTTATAGGTAAAAAAAAAAGCCAAATAAACAAACAAAAAACCACCAAACAAACAACAACAAAAAAAGCAAACAAAAAGAACCCCCATAGTTTTGATGTCTTTGCTCTTTCTTCCTCCTCCGTGATTCAAAGGGAATGATTTATGCTTAGGGAAGAAAAGTCTTTGTAGCAAAAGCATTGCTATTGAAAAATTTTTATAAAAATTGGCTTGATGAATGAGTCCATGCCAAAAACCGACCTCCCTCCCAGCCTTTTTTTTTTTTTTTTAAAGTAGTTTTTGCTGGGTAGTAGCAAAATTCTTGCCCAGTGCCATCCATAACCAGGATGTGATCCTAGCTGGTTTTCCTAATTTGTATAACATCTCTGAAACTCCTGTCTGAAGGAGAGAACTGTACAACTTCAGTCCAGGTCCCAAAGATGTGCAAGAGCAAGAAAAATGTGTCTGCCATGGTTGCTGATGCCTGGAATAAGGCACCCATGCAAAAGAAACATGTCATTGAAGGAGGAGTTTCATCCCAAAGTGAGTTCTTCCCCCATTCCAACTCCATCTGGTTCTTTGTACGGAAAAAAAACCCAAAAACACCAGAAAACTTTGTTTATTGTATTTTTCATCTTCATGCCAGGGTTGTCTTTCTTGCCAGCCCTCATTTACCAAACCTTTCTTCATTCCTATTTTGAGAGTTAGAAAGAGGTAACCATTTTTTTTCCTCCAAAAATACTTTTTTCAACCTAGAATGGCATGAAATTATTCTAAATATCCAGTTGTCTGCAATGTTTCATTGCTTCCCACTCACTTTTTTTTTTTTTTGCTGAAGTCTAGTCCCAGGGATTTCTGGGACCTGCTTCTCTTCTGGTTTTGTATTTGAGTGTTTGGTGGCACAGGGGCTATCACATGGTCTCTTCAAGGTATTTTGAGTGCTGTGGTGAAACACACTGAGCACATCAACCATGGCATGACTTTTATTGCCTAATCTAGATGGCAAAAAAAAAATCAATGAATATTAAAGAGGGCACAAACCCCAATAACTTTAACATGTAGTGTGAGGGCATGAGGACTTTGTTCACAGCTGCTGAACTGAAACACTCATGGCAGCTCTGCACTGAATCCTTCTCTCAAGTCATCCAGCTGGAGAATCAAATTGCCTCTTCTGCTCTCGGCGGAGGCTGCTGGATGTCACATCTGCCCTGGTGTAGCCATGGAGGAAGAGGTGTCCTTGCCATGGTGTTGCTGCCTAGGTGCAGTGCAAACGAGATCCAAGCATTTCCTGGGAGCTTTGGTTGATGGGAATGATTCACCTCACTTCCAGCATGGTCTGGGTTTTGATGCAAGGCTCTTCTAGTTTGAAAGTTAGCCCGTGACACTTGGTGGTATTTGAGGGAGGCAGCAGCAAGCTGCTTACATTTTGTGTGTGCCTCTGATGCAATGGTGTGAATCGCCTCCTAGGGATTCATTAAAAATCCATAACTGATTCCTGTACTTTAATCACTCCACTCCCTTTTCTTTGCCTGACACACTATCACTTTTCCATCCTCATGCTGCTTTTTGACTGTTCCAGGATGTCCCTTTCAGCACCTACATGCTTTGGGGCCTGTTGCTCGGTGGTCCTCCCAACACCACCCTGCTCCAGGACATGCAGCTGCTGCAAGGCAGAGCCATCCTGAGCCGGGCAGAGCAGAGCCTGTGATCAGGGATCACAGGGTGAGTGCTCGTGGGGAGCGGGGCATGATCCAGGGCTTCTCTGCTAGGTGATCCAGGCACTGGAAAGGGGGGAATCTGCTGGAAGGGAGAAGAGAGTCATGGGGCTTTTTGAGATTAGTCACTGTGGGAAAAGAAGGGAAGGTGAGAAATGTGAGTGCAGAAGGGGTGAGCTACCAAGACAGAGAGGATAAAGGAGCAGGGAGACAAAAAGAGTCTTTTGAGGGGTGAGGAAGGTTGGGCTCAGGTCTGGGGCAGCCATTAGATGGGCAGTGGATTGGCAGGAGGTCTGTCTGAGCTCTGCCCTCCGTCTCACCCCCACGCAGTGCTGGTTCCTGTGCAGCCAGACACAGCCCTGCTGCCAGAGCCCATTGGTAACTGCTTCCTTTCTCTCCATTTGCAGAAGCAGAGGAGCTCTACCAGAAGAGGGTTTTAACCATCACGGGAATCTGTGTTGCCTTGCTTGTGGTGGGCATCGTCTGTGTGGTAGCTTACTGTAAAACCAAGTGAGTATGGGGGGCTGGCAGGCAAGAACTGGCCACAGGTTAGTGAGTGGCAGTGTTCATGTTCCACATTTCCATGCTTTTCACCCAGATGCTGTTTTTAGGAGATGATGTGCTGTGGTACTCCCAGGAAGGTCTCGTGCAGGTGGCCAGTGAAGCTGTCTACCAGACTGTGTCTGAATAAGACGCTTTCCTGGCACCGTTTGCTTGTCCCCTGGAACAGCATCATTTTGCCCAGCCAGGTGGTGCTGTGTTACAGGGAAAAGCTGGCCCCCAAGCCAGCAGCTCAGCTTCTGCCAACAGAAGCACACTGGGCCATTGTGCTGGAGCTGTGGGCTCAGCTAGGTACCTTGCAGGGACTTCCAGAGCAATCCTAATGGAACAGGTGACTTGGGAACCTCTTTTGTGGTCAGCCTTCTCTGCCTGGACAGCACTTTTCTCCCTATTCAGCCTGCACCTCAGTTCAGAGTGCCCCTGTAACTCAGTAGGTCTTGTGGAGTAGATGTCCATGGGCATAGGTAGACTTTGCCACTTTGTCCTTCAGGCAGGACAGGTCAAGTGCTCTGTCACCAAGGCCAAGTCAGGACTCGCTTCCCCTTTTCCTTCTCCCCCCTTTTCTCCTCCACTGCCAGCTGGCTCTGCTACATTGTGCTGGACCCTGGACCCAGCTTCCCAAATTGTCCATGAGAAGAGAAGTTGACCTTTTGTTTGGAAATGCAGTAGGAGGTGTTAAGTGTTGAGTGCCTTGTTTCTTGTTGTTTGCAACTTCCTCCAAATGCCATTGGAACATTCACATGTCCAAGACTTGCCTTCTCTTTCATCTCTGGGAGCAGAGAGCCCCGTGACAGAAGTGTTCCTAATAGATTTCTTCTGTTCTAAAGGAAACAAAGAAAACAAATGCATAACCACTTGCGGCAGAACATGTGTCCTGCTCATCAAAACCGGAGCCTTGCGAACGGGCCAAGCCATCCACGTTTGGATCCTGAGGAAATCCAAATGGCTGATGTAAGACCCTTTGCCTCCATCTCCCTGCATGCTGCTGAGGGGCTGTTTTCTGCCAGGGGTTTGTCGTGGATGTGTATCCTTGCACACCTGTGTGCCTGGCCGTGACGAGCAAAGAGCAAACAAACTTGAGCAAAAGGAAAGATTCTGAGTAGAAACATTTCCAAAACCAACATCTGAAGGGAAATGTGATTTTGCTTTGAAGTACAGGATGAGATTCGGGCTTTTGGGATAGGCTTGTTTTGATTAATCAAGTGTTACCCTGATTTCCACTAAGGGAGATGTTCCCAATGTTTCCTGTTTATTATGCTATCCTGTCAAGTCCCACTTTGTGGGATGACAAATGGGATCACTGTGGCAGTGACCGGAGCCACCACGGTGAAACACGTCATGGTGATGTGGTCAGCTGTCCACCAGCCCACCTTCCCATGCCAAGGGTTCTGTCCTGGGCAAGGTGGCAAGTCCTGGTGGGATACCACTGCCACACAAATGAGAACAATCTTAAGTCTCTTTAGGACAGGATGCAGAGGGCTCAGGGCTCAGGTCTCTCAGCCACTCTTGTGACTTCAGTCATGCAAGATTCCCATCAAACCCCGTGAACTCCATAGGGCCATCAAGGGGTTTCAGTGCCTTGCTGGACCAAGGCCTTGAACAGGGTCAGAAAAAGGTAAGGGTGAGACAGAGCCAAACAAGAAATACTGCTAGAAATGAGTCCAGTGAATCAGCTGCAAGCTCTGTTGGGTCAGCCTTAGGATATTAAAATTTAGCCAGCTTGAATCCTAACCATGCAAAAAGGGGGGAAAGGGAATTCTAAGAACCACAGCCCCCCCCCCACATAGTAGTGACTCTCTCAGAGAGCATAGTGCCCCTGTGAGAAGCAGGGCTGGTTGTTAGATGAAGGAATATTCCAGCATAAATATTTGTGTAACATCTGGTGTTTCTGTAGGACTCACAGCTCTGAGAGATTTCACCTTGTTCTCTTTTTGCTGGCACTCGGTCGGGTGTAACCAGCTGTGGGCAGAGATGTGTCTCTGCTCAGTAGCTACACATGGCACCACTGTCCTCTGGGGAATCCCTTGGCTCTCCAAACTCTTCTGCAATCCCTGTGCCACAGCCCTTTCCCAGTGTTCAAAGTGAAGGGCCAGAGAAAAGCCTCCACCCTCCTTGTCCCTTTCTGTGGGCTGCAGAACTTCTGGGTTCACTCAGTCCTCACCTGATTTTGCCAGAAATAATCAGGCCAGTTAAATTTTTCTTTGGCAGCATTCACAGACTGGTGACTGATCTATGTGATCCTTCCTATTTTGCAGTATATTTCTAAGAATGTTTCTGCCACCGAGCACGTGATCCGAAGGGAAACAGAGACAACCTTTTCAGGAAGTCACTCCTGCTCCCCATCTCATCACTGCTCCACAGCCACTCCAACGTCCAGCCAGAGGTGATGTATACTCTTTTCTCTGAACCTTCCTCCTGCTATTTGCTGTAGGATGCTGTGAGATTCTAAGATTTTCCTTTCAGCTCCCTTTCTGTTTTCACTTGATCTTTGGCTCTGTAGTGACACACAGGCCATGTCTACACTGCAGGACTTGGCAGGCACAGCTGCCTGGTGAGAGGTATGGAACAGTGTGCTCCTTGACCTGCAGGGAGGTGCCAGCAGGATCCTGCAGCACTGACACAGCTGGAAAGCAGGAGGAAATGAACCTGTGCTTCCATGCTTTGCAGTCCCAGATGGGAGGACGTGTGAAAGGTTTTGCAGGTTGTGTTTGCAGCCACGCTGGACATCTGAAATACTTCATTAAGCACACACTGGTTATGTGTTTCACATTTAGAATGTATTTGCCTTGTGGGAGACAAAGTACACAAAATATCACCAAATGTTTTGATCGGTTCCTTAGAGTCAAGGTCTGACTTGGAAGTCACAGGTTTTGACCAGAAAGAAAATGCTCCTGTGAAATTTATCTACCTGCACCTCGGGTGGTGGCACCTCTTTCACTGGAAGTCATTCTGAAACTTTTTGGAAAACTTGGTCTAGCAGGAAAGTACCAATAATGCTTTGTGACAAAGGATGAGACATTATTTTTTGTTTTCGTTTCAAAATAACCATTGGGGGAAGAACATCATGGCTTGGAACCTGAATCTTCTCAAGGTTTTTGAGAACATTTAAGTTAAAGATGGACTTCCCTATTTTTCTGATGTCCAGAAAAGTCCCTCAAATGCTCTAAAGAAAGTCCTGTGCTGTTTTGAGTTTGGGAGTTCCAGTTCCTCTTAGATAGCTCTTGTGTTTCTTCCAGTAAGTGACCGGGGGTTTTCCTTGGAGATCACTTGCCTTTGATATGTGTCTGGCTCATGTCCTTCATTGGCCTGATGGGGTTCTCTCCATTCATCCAGGAATGCAGGAATTCTTTCAGCTAAAGCTCACAGATGGCTCCAGGCAGGTTTCCTTAGGGTCCAGGCATTCCTCAGGGTTGAGCAAGTACTCTCAATTACAACAGGCAAGATCAACTTCAGATGTTGAACTTGGATTTTCAGGTGAATTCCTCCCCAGATTCATCTGACTATACCTCCAGCAAGTGGAGAGGGAGCCAGGAATTACTTGACCAGCTGGGAATGATTCTTTTTTCCCAGGGAAATCCCACTGCTCATGAGCTAGACTATGTGTTTTCCAGGTTTTTTTGCATTCGTACTCTTCAGCCCAGCCCTGGCTAGGTGTGCGCAAGCTTGAGCCAAGTACACAGAGGCTCCTGTGCCTGCAGAGTCGCACCTTGCTGGCCTTCCATGCTCACTTCAAAGGCTTGGGCCATCCCTGGGCACCTTCTGAAGACGAAAAGGTGTGTCTGGAGGGCAGCATTAGCTCATGACAGCTGTAGGGAGGAACCTACCTTGGGTAGCCTCTGGTCCTGGCTACCTGCCACCTCATTTTCCTGAGTCAAGTGCAGCAAGCAGGTGCTTCTTGAAGTCATGCCAGAGGCAAACTACTGGCATAATCAGGCTCCATTTTACTCCATCAGCACCTCTAATGAGGATGCTGTTTGAAGTTATAAATGAGCATGTGCCTGGAGCCATCAATAATTAACAAGTTCTTGGGAAATCTTAATGAGGGCTGCTCTCCTCTGTAAACCCCCATCCAAAATCCTCCACCCACACAGCTTCATCTGGTGCGTTTTGGGAGTTCAGGGGGGTTGCTGTCATGGATCACGTATTTCTGCAATGGTGGGGGTCAGCATGGTGGCCAAGGCACTGCTGGGACCCCAATGTGCAGGTGGCCTTGGCATCCCTGGTGAGTCTTTGTGGGATGTCCCCCTTGCACCAAGACTGGGGGCAGTGGGGCTCTGGCTGCTCAGCACATCATGGTCTTTGTCTAGCGCCTTGAAAGTGTTTTGCTGCCAAAATCTTGAGTAGACTGTGCTCTGCTAATTTTGAGTGGCTTCTCCTGGCTCCTCTCTGGTAGCAGTTCCAAAGGGGCTGTCACTTGGCAGTGCAGGTGGCACATTTGAAGGAACTTGGCTGACTTGCTTTGGCATAGCCAAGGTGTTTTTCCACACCCAGAGCACTTTGCAAGCACAAAGCAGAATTGCCCTGGCCTTCCTCCAGAGGCTGTCCCATCCTGCTCCCATTTATTCTGTGGTGGGATAAATACCTCCTATTGCACTGGTTTACTTTCTTTGTCCTCTAAAGGCATCTTCAAGAAGGAGCAAAGAAAGGCAAATCAAAGGTAGGGTTGGGAATCTGGGCATCCCTGGCCAGATATACGCTAATGAGAGAGAGGGACAGAGAAGGGGGACACCAGTGCAGAGCTGCGGAGCTGCGGAGCTGCAGAGCTGCAGAGCTGCAGAGCTGCAGAGCTGAGTGTGAGCAGTGCCTGTGTCTTTGGAGGAGAGCTGGGTGGGGATTCTTTGCTCACTGTCCACATGGGCTTTGCTCCACAGACATGAAAGCCACACCTGGAGCTTGGAGCGAACAGAGAGCCTGACTTCAGATTCCCAGTCTGGGATAATGCTGTCCTCAGTGGGAACCAGTAAATGCAACAGCCCTGCGTGCGTGGAGGCACGGGCTCGCCGCGGGGCCACCTTCTGCATCGAGGACCAGCGGAGACCCACGACGCAGTACCGCGACTCGGTGGATTCCCTGCGGGACTCGCCCCACAGCGAGAGGTCAGACCCCACTGCATGTTGCCACCACAGCACAGCAGAGGCAAGCCATGCCTCTGTGCCAAACCCAAAAATGTTTGCTTTTGCCAGCCCTAGAGCAGCGGTGCCATGGTAGAATTGGGGAAACTCCAGCTCTGGTTCTACCAGAGGAAGCCAATTCCCCAGGAGGCCCCTCTGGTCGGGACAGCAGCCAGTTCTGCAGCCTGATGGCAATGGAGGTTTGGAGCACAGGGGTGACAGGAGCGGATTATGCCTGGCTGCAGTCAGTAACTGGTAGAGAAAAACTGGCTGGGAGAACACACTGGGCAGCTTGGTGGGCTGCCAAGCAGGGTCTGGCCTTCAGGTGCTTGGGGAAAAGGTGTCTGTTCTCAGCACAGTCCTGGATGGCCAGGTGACAGGGTGCTGCATGTGGACACAGCCTTGGGACAGGACTTGGCGTGACCCAGCCTTCAAGGAACACAACTGCAGAGCTCAGACACCAGCAGCAGCAGTAACACTCGTCCTCTTCCCAGTCTGGTTCCTCATGGAGCACATCTCCACCCTTGATCCAGCCCTTTGCTGGTAGCCATGAGTGACTCTTGGTGGCCATGTGGCCCCTCTTGGGCAGTTACCCTTTGAGGCAGTGGAAATATTCCATGGGGCAGAGGAGAAAGGCAGCATCTCCTGCTCTCATTCCTGCCCCTGGTCCATTCAGGCAGACTGACCCAGCTCCTATGGAGATCTCATACACCACAAAACACATGGGTAAAAAGGCCCTGGATGAGTAAGAGAGCCTGGGCAGAGACACCTCTGGCAATATGAAGAGGAAATAAGATCTGCTCCTTAGAAAGAGGTGGTGCTGAAGAAAGGGATGTTTGGAGAGGGGCTAGACCAGACCTGAGTGACCACACTGATGTTGTCACTAGAGCTGGTGAAAGTGGTAGATGGCTTTTTGAGACACGAGACTTTTGCTAAGTCAGAGAAAGCAATGCCCAGGGTTTCCCTATCTGAGGCCTGAGGAGGGAGAGGGAATTCCAAGGACCTTCCTCAGAGACACGCCTGGCATCTCCAGAGGGAACAGAAAGCAGCTGTCAGGCAGATGAGAGGCAGTGAAGCGCCGTGACTCAGCTTGCTGGGAGATGCTGCAGGGTTTGCAGCAATGCAGAGTGAGAACTGTGCACCGAGTCCCTTGGGAGAAGCAGTTTGGGGGATGCTCAGCACATGCTGCCCATTGAAGCCACCAGCTCACCCTCCCTTGGTGCAGCAGTGCAAGGTCCTTCCACCTGATTCCCCAGGAGAACCTCCACGAGCAGGTTCACCGGAGGCCTCACGGGTCCCTGGTGTTCAGCGAAGCGCGGGCTCAGCCGGTGGTTTTCGGGCTCGTTCCGTGTCCAAACAGAGGTGTTGCTTTTCCAGGTACGTGTCGGCCCTGACCACACCAGCACGCCTGTCGCCTGTTGACTTCCACTACTCGATGACCACGCAGGTGCCCACCTTCGAGATCACCTCCCCCAACTCGGCGCACGCCGTGTCCCTGCCGCCGGCGGCCCCCATCAGCTTCCGCGTGGAGGAGCAGCAGCCCCTCCTGCGGCGCTACCAGCTCCCCTTCCAGGACACGCAGAGGTACGACAGCTACTACCAAAGGAAGACCTACCTAAACGACAGCATGGGGAGCCTGCCCTCCAGCCCCTTCCGCATCACAGAGGACGACGAGTACGAGACGACGCAGGAGTACGTCACAGCGCTAGAGCAGCCAAAGAAAACAGCCAGCAGCAACAGGCGGTGGAAAAAATCCAAACTGAACGGGCACATCCCTCACAGAGCCAGAGCCGTCCGGGACTCCTTCTCCTTGAGCAGCGCCTCTTACAGCGAGTCTGACGAGGAGCTGGTGGCCGAGAGCACCCCGTTCCTAAGCACTCAGAACAATGAGGCGGCGCACACAGAGTCGCCGCCGCTGCACCGGCCGGGCGACAGCCGGACTCACTACTCGTGCCGCGGGCACAGCGCGCACGGCGATGGCGGCCGCGGCAGCCTGGGCCACGTGGCGCCCAAAGCGGACCCCGAGCCTCTCTAGGCGCCTCCCGCGCTCCTGCGCGCGCAGCCGTGACCCGCATGGAGGAGGCCGAGAGGAGGGAGGCCGAGGCGAGACAAAAAAACCACACAAAACAAAAAAAAAACAAAACAAAACAAAAGAAAACAAAAAAAATAAATATTTTTATTTTATATAAAAGAGGGAAAAACAAAAAATATAACAAATAAAAATGTTTTATTTTCATTTTAGCAAAGTTGTCTTATAATAGCTAACGACAATGACTTTTTTATAGGGAATCTCTATTTATATGTAATGTCTTGATTTACAGCTTCCGAGAAAAAAAAAGTAAAAAAAAAAAAAAAAAGAAGAAAAGAAAACAAACAATAAAGTTAAAAAAAAAGTGGGCCAATTTTTGACTACTTAAAAATAGAAAACAAAACTATCGTGGTGCCTTTTGCTGTATGCTAGTGCTGGGATTCATGCCGAGGATTCTGTTTCAGTAGCATTTTTAAGGTCATAGATTTTTGTTTGGGAGACAACCTGTCACAAGGGCGCTTTTCTGTTGGAAGAAAACAGCCTTGCCACTTTGCCCCGTACCCTGCTATTAATGATCTTATTCTTTAAAGTATTGTTTAAACACACATTAAGGACATGAGTGGGAGCATTTCCATTATCATGTCTAACGAGGATCTGTCTCGCCCTGTAAACTACTTGTATTTCCGCTTAAATCAGGAGAAAAAGAAACCCAACAGCACTGTGCTGAAATGCAGAAATAACGTTTCTTTTGCCACACAGGTAGGAAGAGAAAATGAAATCGCGCAGCAGCAGCAGCAGCCCTTACAATATAGCTCTCAACCTTTGGCCATCTCACCGGTGGGTCTGGAGTGGGGTTGGCACAGGTTTGTAGTGAAGCCAGGCAGACACCCCTGTGACCATGGTGGATCACACCTGTCACGTACCTTTGAATCCGGGTCGCTGAGCCAGCCCTGGCAGCTGGCCCTGCGCGGTGGTCCCGCGGTGGGCGGCTCCGTTCAGCCGTGGCGCCCGTGGCCACGTGGCCGCCCCACCGCCATGCTGGCCGCGGCGTCCCCTCGGCTGAGCATTGGCCGTGGCGCGTGGGGCCACGGAGCTGTGGTGACACCCTTGGCCGGGGTGCTGGGGGACACCCACAAGGCGGTCCCGTGGCGCTGACGGCCGCGTGTCACCCTGGGCACGGAGCCAGGCGGTCGCCGGCCACGCTGCCCCAAGGGTCAGTAGGACCCCGAGCGCTTTGGGCTCTGCTTGTGGCCCCTGGCTCGGCTGGGCAGGGCCCTGCGTGGGGCAGCCCAGCGAGCGGATTCTCCCGTACGGCCGTGCCACGTATTGTAAAGACAGTTGTTACCGTCACGTCCTGCCATCGATGACGGACGTCGCGTTCCCAAACTCGGAGCAGCTCTGGCCATCGGCTCTGTGGCGCAAAGAGACAGTCCTGCGTGTCCAGGCGGCAGAGCATCCCCCGTGGAAGTGCCCCCCTCTCCTCAGTTCTCTGCAGCAAACCTGTTTACATTGTAGCCTGACTTTTTTCTTTTTATATTTTTACTTCTGCATGTCCTTTGCATTTCAGATACTGTAGATTGGATGCATGGTGAAGCTGTGACTGAGAAGATAATACAACAATTGACAGTGTATTATTTCATTTAACTTTTAGCAATAAAGTAACTAAACCCTCTATTCCTCACCCATGATGGGGTCAGATAGAAAACTCTGCTAATTTGTCATAAGATGATTGTCAAAGTTTGCTCTGGATTGTCTGAATGTCAGAACTCTTGACTGTTTAACACTTGAACATTTTTTATATTATAAATAAAATAAGAAATAACAAGTTGTGGGCTGCATTAATCTCAGGCCCTTTGGAGGGCAAATGGGGAGCTGTGACAGGCACCATACACAGAATCACAGACTGGTTAAGGCTGGAAGAGACTTCTTCCACATTTCCTGCTCCACCAGCTCACCCAGAGTCAGCTGCCCAGGCCAGTGCCCAGTCAGGGTTTGAGTATCTTCAGGGATGGCAGTACCACAACTTCTTTGGGTAACCTCTGCCAGTGTTTGGTCCCTCTCAAAGCAAAAAATTTATCTTCTTGTATTTGGACCAGATTTATTAATTTTTAATTTGGGCCCTTTGCCTCATTCTCTATTTTAGGCCCATTGCCTCGTGTCCTGAGCACTGCTGAGAAGAGTCCAGCTCCCTCTTTTTCACTGCCATCCACTGGGTGTTTATACACATGGATAAAGCCCCCCCTGAGCCTTCTCCTCTCCAGGCTGGACAGTTCCAGCTCCCTCATCCTTTCCTCATATGAGAGATGCTCTGGCTCAGTAAAGATCTTTATGCCCATAAAGACCCATGGGTGGGTGTTTTTCTAGCTGGCATGGACATTTGACCTTCCCTGCAGGGCTCAGGAGTGGAGGCTCATTGAGGTGAGTGAATGCTACCCACACATCTCCCGGGGGGACCCCACTCCTCCTCCAACTGCAGGTCAGGAGATCCCCCTTCACCTGAGCCATGGAAGTTTCCAGTTGTGCCAAGAGAGGTCAGGATGTGCTATGACCTGGCACCTATTTCAGTGACTTCAACAGAGTGGAGATGTGTTGGGTCCAACCCTGCTGGTGCTGTGGTGCCGTGCAGCACTGACCCACCCACAAAACAGGTCCTTTCTTCAGCTCCTCCACTGGAAATCTGTGTCTCTGGCTATCCCTGTGTGGGGGACTCACTGACAGTGTGGTGTGGCCACAGGAGCACAGTCCCTGAGGTGGAACCCATGGTTCCATCCAGCTCAGAACCCACTCCCCTGTTCCTGCTCAGTGACATGAACAGGTACCCAAAAGTCCCAGCTGCACTCGCTAAACAGGAGAGGGATCTGTTACGGTGACCTGACCCTACTGAAATGGATAGGTTGGAACTAACTGATCTGCTTGGAACTAGATGATTTTTAATGTCTCTTCCAACCCAAATCATTCTATGAATGCCCAGAGCTGTGAGAGAACTCCCAAGCCCTCACAGTACTGCCCATGCTGGAGGCCAGACTAAGCCCACCCACAGCCTGGGCTGCTTCTGCTCCAACCCCCCCGGATGCCCATTGCCCTGGAGCTGACCCAGCTGGGTCACAGGCCACCCCAAACATTCATTGCATGTCCTGTGGGGCCTCCAGACAGACCAGAGAGCTCAGCACTCCACCCAGAATGAAGACATCTCAACACTGATTTCCCAGAAGGTTAAAGGCTGAAGGATCCTGCCCTCCCGCCATGGGGCCCATGTCACCCAACAGCACATGCAAGGGAGGTGTTAGGTGGGTAGACCTGGGGCTAAAGGTGGTAGGGCCAAGTCCTGATTTGGGTGACATTTGCCTTTGTGCCCCACTTCTGTGCAGCCCCAAGCCTTGCTGGATGAAGGCAGCCATGCAGCTCTCCACTCTCCCGTTTCTCTTGGGGAATGCCCCAGCTCCCCGTCACCTTTGATCCATCTTGGCTCTTCCAGTGGCTCCCAGAGCAAGGTGAGATGGGCAGGAACAGGCAGAGAACACCTGGCCCCTTGGAAGGGACATGTGTGGATTATCACCAAGGCTGATCCCTGGGGAAAGCAGGCACATGGAAGAGAGAGATTGGGTGTCTTTGGCTTCCCAAAGCAGCCCCATCTCCTTGCCTGACTCTCCTCAGCATCTCTGAGCTCCACTCATGGAGAAGTGCCCCCAAGGCTGGCACAGCAGCACCTGCATTACAAGAAGGTACAGCTCTTGTGTGTCCCTGGCATGCAGAGCAACCATGTGGCCACATCACAGGGTGTGCTCAATGCAGCTGATCCCCACCAGGAATCTCTCTGGGTCCCTTGGAGAGGAGCTGTGGGTTTGCCCTGCACAGGGGGATGTTTCCCTGCTCCATGGTTTGCAGGGATCTGTGATGTTCTGCATCCACTGAGACACCACTAGCTCTGAGCCATGGCAGCCTCAGGATTCTTTGTGGTGATTTTTTCGCTAAACGTGCCCCTTGATTCCCATAATTGTGTTCTATATTTAGAGGCAGTTACGCTACTTCAATTTTCTCTCCAATTGCCTCTGAAGGGAGCCTGTATCTCTCTCTTTTTTCCCTGGCTGGTTTATTTTTAGACTCCTCATTTCCAGCCATGTGTGTTCCTAGGGTTCTGCTGTAAATATTTTACAGCAACTTTCACAGGTGGGGGAGCCACCAAAGCCTCCTGACAGCTCTGCTCTGCATTTATGGTGCCTTTACTGCCCTTCCCAGAGGGAAAGGAGTTGCTCTGCTGACACAGATTGGAGACACAAGCAGGAGAGGAGCATTGGATCCTGGCTTTGGGGTCACGAAGTCTCCCCCACAAAGAAGTCCCTCCAAAATGAATGTGGTTGTGTCCAGGACAAGTGGCCTGGCTGGGAGGCCAGGCTGAACCAGCACTGCCAGGTGAGGTTGTGTGAGACCCAAAGCAGTCATGGTGCCTGCTGGAGGGGCTGACACACGCTGGGGAGGTGCAGAAAGTGCATCTGAGTAACTCCAGGAGGAGAAAAGGATGTGGCTGCCTAATTCCTCTGAGAATTCCTCTGCTCTTCTCTCTTAGTGGTGGGTGGCTGAGTCCTTGATCTCCAGGGAGGGAGAAAAGGGATGAAAAGATCCATTTTCTTCCAAGTCACAAGCTGAGGCTGTGGATTGGTCAAACAAGGCATTTTTGGCTCTGCCCTCATGTAGGTAAGATGCTCTCAACAACTTTTCACGTGCCTGTGCACCTGGATCAGGACTTGTGCAGGAAGCAAACTGCAGGTACTCGGTAAGAGCAAGTTTAGTACTCTGAGCTGTCTTGCAAAGTGTTGTCTGACATCAGCTTTCACCCCTTCCCACATCCACTGGGTGTTCAGGCTCACAGCTCTGAGTCTCTTTCCTGCTGCCCAGAGGAGACTTTTCCAAGATCTTGTTTTTCTCTGCAAGTTACTCCAGCTGAGGATGGCAGACTGGCACCTTCAGCCAGGGGGCTGAGCTGCTCTTGGTGGCAGCTCAGACACACTGGGGACATCACTGCCTGCTGGAAGGGATGCTCAGAGGGGAAGACTGAAGTACAAAATATTACCTGGGATTTTGGAGAGGAGGAATTTGGCCCAGCTTTCTCCTGGACTTCCACTGTGAAAGTCTCAGCACCAGACACTTCCTGTGAGTAGGAACATCTTGAAGGTCTTCGGTGCAAGTCTGTACAATACCTGACACAAACGCAATGATGCCTTGGAGAAACAGCCACAGACTCCTCTGGGAACCGTTGTGAGAACATCTCCAGTCACTAATGCAGGGCTTGGGACCTTTCTGCTCCCATAAATCTCTAGGCTGTATGTGGACAGACACACCTGGGATGCACCAGACGGAGGGAAGAGTTGCTTGAATGTCTTCCCAAAGCAGCCCATGTATCCACACCCGCTCCAGAACCATCCAAGAGGATGGGCGGGCTGGTACCCACTTGTGGAAAGGAATTGATGTTTCCTGGTGCTGTCTATCCACAGGATCCTGGCTTTTCTGCATCAGGTGCTGGATCTGAATCAGCCTGGTCTTCTGGTGCTGTGAAATCTGTGATCAATCCAGCACATGGTGGAACGATGCTTCAGACCAATTCTCTTTACCAACAGATTCAGTTTTATTGTTATTCTTTTTTTTTACATGATTCTTAGTGCATCATTTCAAATAAACTATCAAACTGTACAAAGAAACAGAGATAAAAGAAGAGGCGATAAAATTGGAAAGAGGTTTTTAGTGTCATGAACCGTCATGGAAAACAGTAGTCCGTAGGCTCTCAAATACTGAAGGTCCAAATAAATCTTATATTGTTTGTTTAAAAAATGCTGCAAAATATGAACAATAAATGACTGTAATTAGCAGCTACAAGATCCTTCAAAACTGGAACTTGATTACTGTGAATGCACCTAGGGGAAAGAAAAGCAATCTGAGATAAAGGATCAAACAAAATATTGAAATAAATAAAGTGTGGGAGGACAGTCGTGGCATTGAAATGCAGAGAAATCACTTCAGCACAACAATAAATCATTGGACCACAGACAGCAGAAAGGAACAGAAACACAATTCCCACTTAAAAGAGTACAGCATGTGCATCGCAGGATGGAGGAATACAGCAGGGAGGGGCAGGTGGGATCGCTCCTGCACGCAAAGGTTCCGCAGGAGCTCGCGCACGGCTCCAGTTGTGCCTCGAACCCAGAGTGGTGGATCCCAAGCTAGCAGCCACTCGGGCAGTTTGTCTGAATAAGCAGGAATGGGAGAGCGATGTTTCACAGCAAAGCCAGGTGGGATTTCCATTCGAGTAAAAAAAGGAGAAAAAGGAAAAAAGAAAAAAAAAAGATACACAGCTACTCCATTTTTTTTAGAACATCCTGGTGGGCTGGTCAGACCCTCCACATCCCTAATGTCTTCCCCAGGCAGCTTGCCTTCACTTACACACTGAGGTTAAAAACCCACGTTAACGTTTCCTTATATATATATATTTATTTATATATATATTCATATGTATATATATATATATATAAAAAGGATAAGGTGACAGAGGGCCCTTCAGGCTTCTCCTGCCGTGGGCAGGTGACGTTCCCACGTGGCCGTGCTGAAGACGCCTCTCGCCCGGTCGGTGACCAGCTCACGACACCCGTCCTGTCGCGCCGTGCTCCTCCTGGGGCAGGGACGTGCCCCTGCCACCCTGTGCCCTTCTCTGGGAGCGCTGGTGGTGCCACAGACGTCGTCCTGGCTCAGTTTCCTGCACTGCTGGGGACTGTGACCATGAACCGCTTGGGGATTCCAGGGAGGGAAGGAGGAGGGATGGGGCTGGTGGAGGAAAGAGCGACCCAGCCCTTGAAGAACCAGCACATCCCTTTGTTGTGCAGGCTGCAGCAGGAGGGAAAGAAAAGCCACTGGTGCAGTTGGGAATGAAGAAGAGATGATGCTGAAATGCCAGAGCATTGACAGAGAGTGTCAACTAAAGCTTCTTTGATTTCTTTCACTAGAGCAATCCTCATGTCATACATGTCTACAGTTTTGCTCATACAATTTCCTAAGTAAAATTGTGCTCATCAATCTAAGTCCAGGAGCGCAGAGCATTGCCGGTTCATCCCCCCGTGCACATGTTCCTTGTTAAGTGTTCTGCTCTAAAATGTCCTTTTCTGCCTTACAGCTGATGGACATGTGCCCTTGGCTCAAGGAAGGGCTGGAATGCGTCTTCCGCAAAGCGAGATCGTCAGCTTCCACCTTGAAGAAACTGGTCTCGATCCTCTCCAGGTCATCTGTCCCCACTTTTATCTTCATGCACAGCAGGTTGATGTATGTTTCATAGCGGCTCTTCTGCAGGGAAAGAGGGAACAGAGAGCCTGGGAACGGGGACAGGCCACGGTGTGTGCGGCACGCAGGAACAATTCCATCAGCTGCTGCAGGAAAACCCATCCCGTATCATCAGCATCCCGCTAATCACACCCCACAAATGTAACCCCAGCACAATGCCTGGCCTGATTGTTGGAAGGTCTGAGGAGAAAGGTGTGTGTGGGTGTGTGTAGGACCCTCCAGTTGCTTTTACAGGTCTTGGCTGCCACTGTGATTGTATAAGGAGGGTACTGGGGGCAAAGTGAGATCAGCAGACCTGCTGCTTCCTGATTTAGGAGCTCGCCTTGATTGGTTAAAATACTTCTGCTTGTCATTGTTTCCATCCAGTGGTTCAGTTACTGCTGCTGAGTTGTGCCCCCAATGCTCCTCACAGAGCACAGCATAAAGAGAGGCATCCTCTCTGCCTGGATCCTTTGTTCCAATGCTAGATGGGATCTTTTTGAGGACTTGTGTAATACCCATCCTTTCTCTTAATGTCTCAGAGGCAGCCTGTGCTGGCTCCTTTGTCAGCACAAAGAAACAAGCATTTCTGGAGTACATCTCATAAGACAGATGAGATGAATTATGCCCTGGAAGTGCCAATTTCTCCTTGAAGACTGAAAAGGCAGTCCAGAGAAAAGCTCAGATAGAGACCTCTCTGTAGGCATCTGAAACCAGATGCTGGAAAAAGGGAGGCAGCAGCAACTATTTGGAAGGCTGGTACAAAGAGAAGGGAACAAGCAGCTGGGAGCTGTGGATTTGGAGAATCAGGATGGGTGTTACACAAAAGGATGGTGCAGCCCTGGCATGAGGGAGGTGGGATATTTCCATCCTTAGTGATTTTTGAGGCTCGGCCACTAAACGGCACACTCAGTCTGGGCTAAGACTAGGAATAATCCAAGTTCCTGCTGGAAGCAGGACTAGAGGCCTCCAGCAGTCCCTTCCCACTGACACCTATGTAAGCAGGAACCACACCTGTTCAACTCTCACTGGAACAAAATACCCCATTTCTCCCACAGTTAAATGCTTCTTAGACTTTCCAGGGGGTTAAAACTCATTTACATGCATCCTCAAAGGGTCTGTACTCAGCTGTAACACTGTGTTTGGCTTTATTTCCAAAAATTGCTGCAGCAAAATAAGATTAATTCTCCTATGATTTTTCTTTGCTTTTTATTAATGTTGCTGGAAAAGACTGCATCACACTGAGAACTGAACCACTGTCTTACTTGGGACATGAAGAAATGTCAAAATTTGGCACAGTAAAGGAAGATTTTCTTTCCCTTGTCATTTTTCCCCTCCTCTGGTTAGAAACCACGGAGGGAAGGAAATGGCTCTTATTTCTTTTTTCAGCTTCAGTGCAAAACAGTGAGGCTTTTTGCTGCCCCAAGACACCCATCCAGCTTGGGTGCCCTTGTCCTTCTGTCTCCTTTCACGCTCTCCCAGACTCACAGCACCCACTCTGGAGTTCTCCTCAATCAGCCAAGGTATCATTTATCACAGAAAAGATGAAAGTTCCTTTACCTCAAATATTAGGTAATGTTCTTTGAGTCTGTATTCCTCAGCCTCTTTTGACTTGAGGCTCTTCTCTACAGGATGTAATTTATGCTCTGCTAATTCGTCTGCAATCTGCTTCATTTTATTTTCATGAGACCTCAGCTGTTCCTCCTGCCGAGAGAAGCGTGTCAGGTATTAAAACGTGGGAGTGCAGCACCCAAGTGCTCCGCCTGCCTGTGGCTGGGGGAACTCTCTCTGCAGGGGCGTGAGCTCAGCCACTGTGCTGGAGCCAAAGGTGTGCTGTGCACTTGCAAATTCATCTGATAAGGAGCAGCTCAAACACAGGTATTGGAGTAAGAGCAAAACTCAGGTACCTCAAGTGCCAAGAGTGGATTTCTTTGGCACTGAGGCATCTTTGGCATGGTAAGCACAAAACGCTCCTGTAACATGCATCCTCTAGCAGCCAGGCAGGAGCAGCGCTGTCCCAAGAGCTGCTCATCCTGCTCCTTTTGGAGATACAAGTACCCTCCCCGTCTGGGCTCTGACAAAGGTGACCATCTGGCCACATCTGTCTCAGCAGGCAGGAGCTGTGTCTCTGCCCTGATGTTTCAGGCTGTCCTCCCCTGTGCTGGGGGGCCATGGCAGTGTGTCCCTACTTTTTGGAAGTGCTAAGGCACATTGGGCCTTCCCAGGACAGGGAAACAAAAGCTACTCTTTGCATGGCAGCTGCTCTTGGTTAGCTGAGCCTGGTGCACAGTGTCCCCTTGTTTCCAGAAAACCTTCCCTACTGACTGGAACTCAGGCATCCCCTTCATCTGTGGTTTTTGAGCTCCAGAAACAAGAGGGTGCCATGATATAAACCAAACCTGGGCTGCTGGGCTCTGCTGCATCAACTCTGGAGCTATTCTGCTGTTTCCCCTTCAGCAGCAGGAAGGTGCTGGGATGTGATGGGCAAAGAGCAATAAACAAGCCAGAACCAACAGGCAGGTGTGTGCATGGGGCTGTTTGTAGCCAGTGCAAAGGAAGCACTGGCCAGATTCCAGGATTTTCCATGTCTGTCCAAGCTGCCCACTCCACTCCCCTGTTCCTGCACTGAGCACCTGAGTGTGCCCCTCAGGCAGGAACAGGGGGACCCTGCTCTGGAGGGCCTCCTGAGCACTGGGCACGCCTCCACCACTCCTCTCACACATTACCTGGCACAGCTTGGTCATGGATGAGGGCAGGAGCGGGCGGCAGAACTTCTTCATGGAGCAGATTGCAGCTGGGAAGGCTGGAGCAGAGAAAATGGCAGCAACGAGGTTGATTCGCAGGATCCAGGAGAGCATTTCTTCCTTACTTCTGTGATGGAGGAGGGGAGAAGAGAGTCTGAACATGCTCTTGGACCAGGAGCAGGCAACAGCTGACAACAGCCCTAGAGCCTGATTTAGGAGCTCAGGAGGGCCATCAGTGGCCTTGCTTTGATGCCACTTCTGTGCCAGGGAAGGGGAAGACAGAGGGAAACACTGTCTAACTGGCTGCTCCACAGTGCCCTGATGATTTCAGGGCTGCTGTCTGCCTCTCAAAGCCTGGGCAGTCCTGCCTTCCTCACCAGCTCTGGTTTGTGTTCCTGAGGAGCTCAACAGAGGTTCCACAGAGCAGGATGTCATTTATGTCATTTGTGAGATGCTGCCCAGGGTCCTTCATCAAATCTGTCCAGACACTGCTGCCCCGAGCCTTCAGGTGGGTGTTTGCTGCACAAATTCAGATGTCAAGCTAAAGCAGTACCCCAGCCCAACCTACAGACAACGTCACCTCTCTCAGCAGAAGATGTGAGGCAGAAGATTACTTCATCACCCTTGACACTTATTAACACCATAACATTCCTCAGCAATGGACTAAGATAAAACATCTACCCTGGCTGGGGAGACTGCTTTAAGGAGGTTTAGACAGTTTCCCCATCAAAAGCTGACAAGGGCAATCATCACCTGCACTGCACAGATGTTCTCCCTTCCAGAATACTCCAATAGAAGTTAGCAAGAGGAGCCTTTTCTCTCAGCCCTGCACATCCCAGCCCATCCTGCTCAGCCTGCCTTGCTGACAGCTGGGAAGGACCTCAAGGACCGGCACAAAGCTACCAAGAAACTGTGACCTATAACCAAATCCTCTGCACAGCCTTGCAGGAATGACCCTCAGCCCCTTCCTCCCCGTAGGTGTGGCCCCCAATTTGTGTGCTGATCTGGCCAGGTCAGAGGGAGTCTGGCAGTGCCTGGAGGTCAGGCTGCCCATCCAGGCACTGCTGGGACTCACGGGGCCTGGAAGAGGAAGACTCTCCAGTCAGCTGTCTTCAGCTTGAGCACGTTGGACTTCTTGCTGTAGTCAGAGGCTTTTGTGGCTAAGGCGTGGTGCACACGGATGGCGTTTTTCAGATCCACTTCAGAGAGGTCTTTGTCAGGTTTATATTCATCCTGTGAAGAGGAACGTTAATTGGATAATGACAACACTAACATTTGCGGGCTGCTTTAATGAACCTGCCTTTCTCCCTGTGCTATAATCACAGAGCGCCAAGACCAGGAAAAGCACTGCTTTGTACAGTAAATGCTAGGAGCTGATAATGATAATAATTAACATCTGGCAACTGCTTCCATCATTAAGTTCACTGGGAAGATGTAAAGAAGGAGATGAAAGTTTTAAACATAATTATCAATAGTTATTTCTAACACAGCACATGCCTGAGGCTTTCTGGGGAGGCACAAGACAGGGCCAGGTTTCTGCAGAGTTTCCCCCACAGTGCAGAGCTCAAACCAGGATCCAACTCCCAGTCAGCAGAGGATATCAACAAGCACCTGCCCTGGTGCTGCAGCTTCACAGACTCATAGAATGGTTTGGGCTGGAAAGGACCTCAAACCTCATCTTATTCCAACCCCCTGCCATGGACAGGGACACCTTTCACTAGCCCAGGTTGTCCAAGTCCTGTCCAACCCCGCCTTGAACACTTCCAGGGATGGGCCAGCCACAGCTTCTCTGGGCAACCTTTGTCAGGGCCTCACCACCATCACAGGGAAAAACATTTTTCCTCGTACCTAAATTTCCCCTCTTTCAGTCTAAACCCATTGCTCCTTGTATCACTGCAGCTTTGTGTGGAGGAAGGTAGCCCTGGAACAGCAGCATCCCTGCAACCAGTGCATCCCTGTACAGGTGTGGGGCCTGGTGGGCAGCTGCCAGTCTGAGTGTGGCCCTGCTGAGCCAGCTTTGTGTCCCTTTAGCACACGTGTTCCTTTGGCATGGTCTCCCCTGTAATTCATTAGACTGGCACTTGCAAATTGCAGCAGCATTCCCTGTGTTCCTGCTTTACCTTCTCCACTGAAGGACAGCTTCACATGAGTAGGAATGCAGCAGTAACTATACGTGTTTCTGTTTTATAGAAAGGTAGAAAATACCAAATGTGTGATTCTGAAATGATGATCTTTGCACAGAACTTTTTAGGAAAAAGAAGTTCAGTCAACCCTGTGCTTACCCTTTCTCTTTCCCAGTGATTTAACGCAATATCCTGCCTCCCACCCTGCACCCTTGCCAGCTCAACCAGTCGGACGGTGGGACGGCAAGGATGGACAGATGGATGCATGGATAGGTGCAAAAAGAACCTGGTGAAAGGAACCTGGCCCTGGCTAAAGCAAACCACCACCCCAGCCACGCTAGAGGCCATGCCAGGACAGGGTGTCCCTGCAAGGCTCTGCCTTGCCCTGATGATTACAGTGCTACAGGATTAATGTGCTCTATATTTTGCTTTCCTGGACTGCCCTTGGCTGCCAGCACCAGGGCAGGTCTGTCTGGTGATGATGGTCTATACATCCAAGCCTTGCTTGGCTTCCAAGCCAGAACTGTTCTGCAGATTCTCTAAAAGCTTTTTTCTGTGTCCCATGTCCCAGTGGTACAAATGGCTCAGGGGAAAGCTGTGCTGCAGCCTCTGGGATGGTAACCCTGCTCAGTGAGGCTGTTCTCTGCTGTAGGGTCAGAAAGGTTTCCCCTCTGCTGCTCTTGAGAGCACTGAGGACCAGCACTCCCCAGCCCATGGATGTGGCTCACCCATCTCTCACTCCTGATGGGAAATAAGCTCCTGAAGCATTTCTTCCCTCATTTTTCAAAGCAATCATCTCATCCAGGAGAGTGATTGCTGTGCTCATCATCATATGAAACTTGGCCTTGTACAAAAAAATTGCCTCAGGCCCACCCACAAATGTGAGGCACGGGTTCCTGGGGATGGTGAATCCCAAAGAAAAGCCCTGGCTTTCCAGCAGAGGAAGGCTGGGTGCTGCAGGCATCCTGTGTTCTGGGAGACACTCAGGTGGGCAGTGCAGATGACCTTACCACCATGGTGATTTCAGTAGCCAGAGGGATGGGCTGTCAGCCTTTTTCCCAAAGCAAATGCTTTGCCTTGTGAAGACCTAATGCCTTATCCCACCAGAAGAGAAATATTTGCTTGAGGAAGACATTGCAGCTCGTGCCTCATGTGTTGTAGAGAGACTTCAATTTGGGATATTTTTCTGAGGCTGAAGCTCTTTGAATTTCAATATATCTGATTGTGCTGCCCATGATCTCTTATTTCAAAACAAGCTTTCTGAAAATACAGTGCAAACAGCCCAGCTTAATGATGTGTGACAAGAGGAAACTGCCACAGCTGCTGAGTGCTTTGACTAATGCAGATCCTCATCTTGAATGGAATCATCAAGTATTTCCTCCATGGATTTCAGGCTCTCAGGCATCAGAGTTGATGTAAGAAAAAATCAAATCTTCATTTTCTAATGCTGGGCACAGTAAATCAGCGTGAGGTTGAACGAAGCAGGTTCTCTCCAGCTTCTGCCTTGCTGCTTGCAGGAGTGAATGGTTCTGGAGGCTCCCTGCCTGGGTTGGCTCTTCCAGGAGGCTCATCCCATTGCCAGGTGGTCACAATGTTTGGCTGATAATGCTGGGAGACCCCAATGCCTTTGGGTCACTGTCTACCCCTTGAGCAGATCCAGAGCTAATCTCAAAGCTTGTTTTGCCAAGAAAAGCCATCAAGCTCTTGTGTCTGCCTTTGTAGGGCACCTGGATGGGGTGGGGGACCCCGGTGTGTCAGTTCTGCTGCCCTCTCCTCTGGCCTCAGAGCCAGCCCTGGGCAGTGCTGGCAATAAGGACCGACAGATATTCCTCATGTTCTGGCTTGTGAGTGGCTTTTCCTCTCCTTTCTTTTCTTCACCTCACATCTACCACCCTAAACAAACCATTTAATTAGGAAAATTAACTCCTGCCCCCTTTTCAGTCTAGGCAGAATCTTGGCTCTTCCCAGAGCTCTTGGCAAGGGCCTGCCTGCATGGGACAGCACCTGTGGCTCAGGGCTGCACTGGGAACCCCTTCCTGGTTGGGGACAGAACCTGTGGGAAGACCTGCACCCTTTCAAACACTTCTGTATGAAAGCACCTCGTGCTTTATAGCTCTCCATCATTTTTCTTAACCCCCCTCTATGTGTGGTGATTAAGGGTTATTATCCCCATTTCACAGAGGTGAAGTAAGTTGCCAAAGGCCATGGAGTGAGTCAGTGCCCAGAGCAGATTAGTGCACAGGAGAGGTGTGCCCTGCTCCCAAACCTGCATTTCTTCCTCCAGACTCTGCTGCATCCCTTTAGGGGATCAAGCAATTGCTTCAGCAGACTGTGCTGGAACATGCTGATCCAGCAATTAACACCAGCGAGTCAATGACATGTGACATCTCCTCATCAGCAGGTTTATGGCTGCTGCCTGAGTTGCTTCTGTCAGACTGACTTCTACCTGCCCACCCACCCTTCTGCCTGTGTTATGTCCACCTCTCTCTGTGCCATTCCTCCTTCCTACACATCCACCTACCCAGCCCCTCCTTCCTCCCACCTTCCCTCTACCTCTCAGGCTTGTTTATACTCAACTTGCTCCTCAAAACCAAATGGAGTTCTCTGTTCAACTTCTGTGACTTTACTATTAAAGCCTAGATCCTCAATTTGGTCTCAGCAGAACAGTGGAACAGGCTGAGCCTGTGCTCCATGACACCAGCTGGTTCTGGAAGCAGGTTCTTTCTCCTCTATCTTCCATCAGAAAACCTTTCCCCAGTGATTTATGCTCAGCCAAGGTTCTACCTTATGTTTATCTGCAGTTGTCTTCTGCTGAGACAGAGAGAGGCTGGCACACCACTTCCTTCCTGTATTGTGCAATTCCTTTGTTCTGCAAACCACCCCACAGGCAAGAAATGACACCAAGGATCCACAGGGCAGGTGGATGTTTATCCACTCTCTGTTGTGGTGCTGGGAACGTTTGCAAGTGACAGGGCAAGGACTTTGTCTTCATGTTCTCAACCTTCTGTCCTGTCTCTGCAAGCCTGAAAGACACTGTTTACAGCCAAGCCCAAGGAATTCCCTGGAGAGGACTGTAATAAAGTCTGGCAGCAGCTCACGAGTAAGAAACCCCTCTTTCCCCAAATCCTTTGCCCAAACATTCCTTTGGTTTATTTTTGTTGTTGTTCCAAATGCTACTTCCTTGGGGCATCCTTGGCAATCCTGGTCCCTCCTGCTAATTACACATCAGTCATGGCTCTTATTTATCAGACACTTTCATAACACAGCCAGATCTTGGGTATTTTGTTCCTTCAGTCCTTGCTCGTAAAAGAAAACCTTCAGTCTCTGAACCATTTGATCCTGAAGGTCACTGAGATAAGAGCATTGATCTCCTCACTGCCAGTCAGCCTCATCCTTGCTCTCTTTTTTAATGCTCAGCACCTCAGACAAACATAAGGAACTTTGTTAATGAGTGGTTACTGCTGCAAGCCTTGTCCAGCCAAGAATCCCCAAGCCCTCTGCCCCAGCAGCAGCAATGACACTCAGCGTTGGCATCACGGCTTCTTCTGCTGCCAGGGAAGAAAATTCCATCCTGCAAGTGCATTTTATTCTCAATATGTACCCTCTCATCAGACTCATCCCAAGAGCAGTCCTTGGTGGAAAATTCATTTAGATCTAAATGGTTCTGTGATAGTTGAAATGTCTTTTTTTTGGTCCTCCCCACACAGAAAGTGTCATACAATTCAATGCTGACGGTAACTCTGTACGAGTTAAATCCTCATGTGTAACCCATGGGTCAGCCTGAGGACCGTGGCAGACTCCACATGAAGATGTGTGATGAGACCAGGACCGAAGGGTGAGAAGAGTGCTGCTGGCTTGAAGAACACCACGCTTCAAGGGCTGGAGGAGGTCTGGTCTCCCCTGTGTGCTGCAGGCTCCCTAAGCTGCAGGAGAGTGGCACAGCTGTAAAAACACCACTGGGCTGAGAGCAACCCACGCTGGGAGTGAGGATGCACTGCTGCCAGATTTCTGCTGGCTTTTGACACGTGCCATAGGAGCTGGCGAAACACGGGAGTCATTGGGGTGTGCTACGAACTCTGAGTCATAACTCCCTGCTGCCCCGAGGATCTTTCTGCCTCTCTTATATAATCCAATGTTTGTTTACTCTCATTGCTGTGGAGATAATGCTGCAATAGGCAGGAGCATCTGGGGAGTGCTGCTCCAGCAAGGTGAGTTCAATGGGTTACTGCACAGCGTGTGTTGCTCAGGTAGTTCACACCTAGTTCAGTGGGTTAGGTTGGTGATGAACAGACATTTGGCATCCTGGGCTGGCTCACACTGACATTCAAGTGAGCCCCTATCCAGTCTCCTTGGATTTTCCCTCAGAAAAAACTTCCCAGTGAATCCTGCAAGCACCCAAGTGGCAGAGAGCTGAATGCTAGAGCATGCAGGAAAGCTATTCCATGGTGACTTTGTGTCCCATGAGGACCTGGGAATTACACTTGTGTTCTCTGGAGGTGGCTACACAATGAACAGAGGTGAAGGGAGGCACAAAGTGTCGCCTGACAGCCCATGGAAGGACACAGGTCATCCAGGGCCTGAAGAATATAGATTTTCATCACAGAACCATGGAATCACAGAATCCTCTGAGCTGGAAGGGACACACAAAGACATCAACTCCAACTCCTGTCCCTGCACAGGACACCTCAACAATCCCTGAGAGCCTTATCCTGATGTCCCCAGGGCACAGATGTCCCTCCTGGCTGCCAGGGCACTGCTGACTCATTCAACTGGCCACTGACCAGGGCTCCCAGGTCCCCTCCCACAGCTGCTCTCCAGCCTCTCATTCCCCAGTCTTTGCACCCAGGATTGCCTTGTCCCAGGTGAAGAATCCAGCACTGTCTTTGTTAAACTTCACACAGCTGATGATTGCCCAGGCCTGTCATTTGTCAGGGTCTCTCTGCAGGGCCTCTACCCTTGAGGGAGTCAACAGCTCCTCTCAGTTTAGTATTGTCTGCAAGCTTGCTCTGTTCTCTTGAGTCCCATGTCCAAGTCACTCATGAAGATGTTGAAGAGCACAGGGTGGAGGATGGAGCCCTGTGGAACCCCACCAGTGACAGGTCACCAGTCTGATGCCACCCCAGTGGCTGTCACCCTTTGTGCCCACCCTGTGAGGCCTTGGCTCTCCCACCACATGATGTGTCTATCCAGTGTGTGCAGGACATTCTGTCCAGAAGGATCTTGTGAGAGACAGTATCAAAAGTTTGAGTGAAACCCAAAAAGATTACATCAGCTGGCTTCCTATACCAGACTCAGCAAAGCTGTGCATAATGAGATCTGTGCCAGCAAATAAAACAGTAGGCAGAATAAGACTGGTCAGATACTCCACCTCTTCACCTTCCTTTTTCTTTTCTCACCAAATCCTATTTCATCTATTCCATATCATCTGTTCATTCATCCTCCCCAATAGCTCCTACTTGCTGGGATCCTTCTGCAGAAACCTGTCTTTCCTCTTTCATCCTTCTTCCTTCAAGGTTCCCTTTGAGGCTGTGAATAATGCCCCTGGCATGAACACCTCCACCAAAGATGAGAGCATCCTCCAGCTCTGGTCTCTGGAGGAGCTCTGTGGATGTCCATGCGTGAGTTAGGACATGGATTCACCTCTGCTCAGGTGTGTGACTGCGTGACTGCTCTGGGGACAGCAGGAGACAGCAAAGGGGAGAGTCCCCCATGGTTACCTTTTGTAAATAAAGGACGGTCCCTTTAAGCACAGCATAAAACTTCTTCCAACCTCTTCTTCCTCTGGGAGCTAAAAACGGAAGAATATTTAATTGTACATGTCTGCCAGTGCTGCTTGACCTTCCAGGCACACCCAACCCTTCTCCTGACCCACCACAGGCACTCTCTGATGCCCAGAGCTCCCACACCTCCAGGCCATTGCTCACGAGTGGTTGGTGAGCAGGGACAGGTGTCTGAGGGACAGTGGCTGGGCTCTGCAGCCTCCCAGCAGGAACACAAGCAGGTCAGAGCCCGACATGAGCTGGTACAGGGGTACCAATGGACACCTGCAGGAAGCCTCTGCTCCTCCAAACCCAGGTTTGTGTTCCTTGGACTTAATGCTCGGAGAGCAGGGACATTCCTTGAGCTCCTCTGCTTGGAACTGAGCAGCTGGACAAGGCAGCTTCTGTTCCCCTGAGGAGGGAGCATTACCATCTCGATGGGCTTGGGGACAGAGAGCTTGGCAGAAGCTGGAGAGGGGTGGGAGGTGAGGGGAGCCATCCACATCACCACCAGACAGCTGATCCTCCAAGCATGGGCTGTTAAGAAGGTGCTGGAAGCAAGGGAGGCCTTTGGTGGAAATCTCTACTCAAGACTTTTTAATCAGCTGACTTTTTTAATCATATGACTGGGCCAATCATATCAATTAGCAAAAGGATCTACCCAAGGTTTAATTAATCTCTGCTCATGAACAGTTCCCAAATACCTTTACCTTTCCTGTAACGCCATATGGTAGCAGAGCTATGGGGTGTTCTGTTGCCAGCCAGCACACGACAGGATAGGGACAGGAGCAAAGCTTGGCAGGCCAGACTGTCCCCAGGGTCAGGGCTGGAGTGGACAACTGCTGAGGAACCAGCCTTCCTCTGAGCCACTGATCAGAGACTGGGATTTGGGATTGGGCCCAGGAACAGGATGGAAAACCAGGTCTGTCTGTGCTGGATTCCTTGGCAGTGAGAAGGGAAGACCGAGGCTTCCTGAAAACACTCCTATCTACAAATACCTCAAAACACCCTCCTTTTCCTCTGTCCTAGCACTTATGGGATCTCTCCTGTGTTGTCTGGGATGTGGTAAGGAAATGCCCTCATCTGGAGAGCCAGGGCAAGGCTCTGGGACTGCCTGGGACAGCTCTCCTGTCCCTGTCCCTGTCCCTGATCACGTACTTCTCTTCCCATCCATGTCCGCGTGGGTTTTGCGGGTGAGGACTCCGTGCTTGTAGGTGACTGCGTTCAGCGCTTGGGGGATGTCCAGGAAGGGGTTGCTGCTGTCAACAATCCTCGTCACTTTCTTGGCACTGGCTCCGAATTTGTCATCTACCAGCTCCGAGAGTGATTTTCTCAACTCGTCCTCGTCACTTGGAAAGAAAATCAGAGGAAAGACTCAGTGGAGGAGATGTGGTCACAGTGCAAAGCAGCCCTATTTGCTTTAGGGTTTTTATGTCAGTCCTCTTACAGGACTGGTCAGAGAAAGAAACAGGCAGGAGATGTCGGGACCATAAGAGAGAGAGTGCCAGTAGTGGTGCTCTGGGCTGGGAGGAGTGTGGGTGGCAGGTGACTGTCCCAGTGGTCCCACTGTGAGGTCACTCAAAACAGGTGAGGGAGTGCTTGTCTGAACACCAGGAAACTGCAGATGTCCCACACTGAGGACTACAAATATGCCACAGGAAATGTCTCCAATTCTGTGCCCTAAAAGCAGAGCTTAAGGAGGATTTTTGCTGAAGGCCGAAGTATTACCAGGCATTTCTCAGCTGCTGAGAGGCAATGTCTGGGACCTCCTAGACTGTGAAGTACCTCTAGGAATGTCCTCTGCATCTCTGAGGAACAGATCTGCAGACATTTGGGAGACGAACCTACTCTGGCACAAAGAAAACAGAACTTGTATGGGAAGTGATAGCTCCCAGTGTCCTTAGGACATGAAGGAGAAACAGCAAACAGGGCTTTTCTGCCCTGTCTGATTCATGTCAATGTCTAAATGGGATGAATGGTCACCTCAGGTTGCAGACTGGGACCAAACCTCAGCTGAGGATTGACCCTCAATGAATCCACTGGCTGGGAAGCGAGCAGTGAAACACAATTCCTCACCTGCAGCAAGCAGATGGGCAAAGCATCAGACACATCTTGGAAGAGAAGGATGATTTCTTAGCCCCCAGCACCCAGAGGAGTCCTGGGGCTGAGGCAGAGCCCAGGTCTGGTTCCTGGGAGGGGAGTCAGTGGGGCTCAGGTGTTTGGGCTGCTGCCCTCTGAGCTCCGTGCTGTTGGTCACACACCTGTGTGCCTGGTGGGATCTGTGGGCATCTCCTTCCCTGGGATGGACAAGGACTCAGGGCAGAGGCAAGCAGAGAGAAGAGAGTCCTGGCTGTGCAAGGACCCAATTCCAGGTCTCTGACAGAAAACCAGGAGCCCTCTCCCAGGGAGTCCCTGCCCCAGGTCCCCCATGCCAGGGGTCCAGCCCTGCAGAGGAGCTGAGGGCTCTGGGCCCGCAGCTCAGCAGGACACCCTGCAGCAAGGCAGGGGCCAGGGATGAGGGAAGGGATGCAGGGATAGAGTGGGCTGGCTGGGGAAAGGTGGGAGGGAGCTGGACCCCGGCAGGGTGACATCCCCGGGATGTGCCCGAGCAGGGAGCTGTTATGTAAGCATCCCGGGGCATCCCGGGGCATCCCGGGGCATCCCGGGCCATCCCGAGGCATCCCGGGGCATCCTGAGGTATCCCGAGGCATCCCGGGGCATCCCGGGGCATCCCGGGCCATCCCGAGGCATCCCGGGGCATCCCGAGGTATCCCGAGGTATCCCGGGGCATTCCGGGGCATCCCGGGGCATCCCGAGGTATCCCGGGGCATCCCGGGGCATTCCGGGGAATCCCGAGGCATCCCGGGGCATCCCGAGGTATCCCGAGGTACACCGAGGCATCCCGAGGCATTCCGGGGAATCCCGAGGCATCCCGGGGCATCCCGAGGCATCCCGAGGTATCCCGAGGCATCCCGAGGCATCCCGAGGCATCCCGGGGCATCCCGAGGCATCCCGGGGCATCCCGAGGCATCCCGAGGTATTCCGAGGAATCCCGGGGCATCCCGAGGTATCCCGAGGTATCCCGAGGTATCCCGAGGCATCCCGAGGCATCCCGAGGCATCCCGGGGCATCCCGAGGCATCCTGGGGCATTCCGGGGCATCCCGAGGAATCCCGAGGAATCCCGAGGTATCCCGAGGCATCCCTGCCCATAAAGCAGCCCGCAGCTCCCTCTCGTGACCGGCCCCGCCGCTCCTTCCAGGGCCTCACGGAGGGAGCACCAAACCCTCTCCTGATGCTGGTTTGTTTGGTCAGGGTAATATGAAGAAGAGAGCAGGTGATGGGGCTGATGGCACAGGAGGCCCTGCTCTGTCCAGAGACAAGGGAGGTCAGGTTGAGGAGAGAGGGAAGGAGGGGAGGAACGTCCCCTGTGTCAGCTCAAGACCTCAGGGCTGTCACGGGATTCCCCTCGAGAGACATTGGGGTTGGGGAGCTCACCGGTGATCCCAGCCCGTGCTCTGAGTGGAGGAGCAGGGGCACAAGGACTGAGGAAGGTGCTGTGTGAACCTGTGATGCTTTCCAGGCTCGGCTCAGGGTAATACATGAGGATTTCATGGAACTTGCGGATGACACCAAAAAGAGGAGTACAAGGCTGAGAGGGCCAGGATGAGCAGGAGCAGCCAGGGTGTTCTGGCAGAGGGCAGGAGCATCCTGGGCTGTGGAACAGCGGCACGGTGAGGAGGCGGAGAGAAGCGATCGCCTGCCCTGCACTGCCTGCATCGTATGGTGACACACACACAGCCCCCACAGCAAGGGTGAGACACCCGAGCCGGGAAAAGAAACCTGGGAGCACCTGTGGTGTAAAAACAGCTGAGAGAATTGGACTTGTTCAAGCTACGGAAGAGATGGCTTTGGGGGAGCTGATGGCAGCCTTGTGTGAGGGGGTGATTGAGAGGACAAAGCTGGGCTCTTCGCTGTGGTGCGTGGCACAAGGACAAGAGATAGTGGGCAGAAGTCAAAACAACAGAGACAAGAGAAAATGGCACTCTCATAATAATAATAATAAAGTATTGGTTTGTGGATCCAGAGGGGCTGTGGGTTCCCCATCCTTGGAGGAGTTTCAGGATCAAATTGAACAAAGCCCAGACCATCCTGGTCTGAATTCAGTGTTGACCATACTTTGAGGAGGAAGCTGAACTGGAGATATCACAAGGTCTCTTCCTTCTTAAGGGATTCTCTGATACTATTTCCAGAAATAAAATTCATGTGGGAGAGATGGAAAATCTCAATGACCAAAATAACCCCAGATCTTTGCTTGTGCAAAGACTTCTGAAGCACCTGGAGAGGAACCAGCATTTTACAGTAGCAAACAAGTAATAGTAAACAAAGAGGGCATTCCCTTCCTTTAGGTCACGGATCCACAGACTGTCACCAACCTTCCTAAGTGCCTTTGTGTCTAAAGCCATAAATAAACCCCATTTGTCTGTCTGCAGAGGGACTTCAGCACTTAAGGGCTTGGCAGGAAATATTCTGGGATTGAAAACATGACTTAGGACCTGCCAGCTCCTTGGAAAGACACACAACCCCTGTAATGCTTAGCATATACTTACATGGCCCACTCCAGCTTCTCATTCTTGATGGAGTTATACAGTGTCTGAAAAAAGAACATGGAATTAGCTGTGTCTCTCAAGGAAGTTGTGCCTGCTCGTGGAGACATCTCCACACCCTGTCTGTGCTCTTGGGGATACTTTCCCTGCTGAACTGTCCTGGAGAAGCATTTCCCAGTGAGCAGGATGGCTGCTGTGCTGCTGGACCTCTTCTTTCTGTGTGCCACGCTGGCACGACAGCAGCAGAGGGCTCTGGCAGCCAGCCCTGCTCAGGAGCCTGAATGTGACATTTTTCTCTCATTCTGGGTGCTGTACCTAGCTCTGAGTGAATCCTGGCCTACACACACTGGTAGAAGACTCTGGGATATGCCATGGCACCAAAAATGTCTTAACTAGCTGAAATGACAAGGGAGGCTTGAACTGAGTAGCAGGGGAGGGATGAACGACCTTGGCATGAGCTTTTCCAGCTCCTTCTGTGCAAAATTCCAGTGGCTCCCCTGGAAGCCTGGACTAGAAAAGAAGCAGGAGTGGGCTAGCAGAGCGGAATGTGGAGGTGGCCCTGACCACACAGAGGGGTAGGATAGGGTGAGGTCTGCTGGGAGATGGGGATGTCACCCCAAACACGATGTGACACCCCTGATGGGGCACCTCTCCTTCCAACCTCCTTCCACACAGTGAAATTCAGGCCAGGCTGCAGGACCTGCAGCAGTGGTGCTGCTAAACCACGTGGCAGGAGAAAATATTCCCTTTGGGATGTTTAACCACAGCCCATGGTACTGCACTGGTTGGAACATTGCATTTCATCACGTGGTAGTGGAGGCAGAGAAAAGTTTCAGTGCTGGAGGGTCGTGTTTTGGGGTGGGGAGTAGATTTTTTTTGGGCATTATCTGAGCTGCTGGAGGAAAAGGGCACCTGGCATGCTCTGAGGGCAGATATGCCACAAATCTGGATAAAACACCACCAGGGAACAGACCTATTTTGGCTCACTGCAAGTGGATGTTATCTATTTTGTGATTTTTTTTTTTAGGAACTGGATTTTTTGAGTAGGTTTTTAAATTTTGGGGGTTTTTTGATAGTGAAATTAGTTTTTTGGAGAATTTGGATGATTTTTTAAAATATTCTTATTGTATTTTTTATATAATGTATATATTATACATACATATACATACATATACACAATATATAAATTGTATATATACAATATAATATATAAATTGTATATATACAATATATATATAAATACAATGTATATATTATATTTATATTAATGTATTGTAGATAATTTTGAGTTTTATTTTTTTTAGTGGTTTTAATTAGTTTATGGTAGATGGTGGGACTGTTTTTTATTTTTGGGGTAGTTGGTTTTAGGTGTATTTTATGTTCTTTTAGGTGAAGGCAAATTGAGGTTCATATTTTGTTGTTAAAGGAATAGAGAAAAATGAATTGGTAATGTTAATAGCAGTGTATTATTTTGTTGTTCTGGATTTTGGTTTGTATTGGAGTTTTAATACCTTTGGTATAGCAGTGTTTAATGGTGGAGTTATTTTACTTAAGGTAGGATTCATGGGGGTTACAATTCTCCTGAAACAACTGAAAAATGCTGATTGAAGGGCTCAGAGTGTCCCAGCAGGACTAGGTGGCACTGCAATAAAACTGCCAGTATCCCACTGTCTTTTTATATCCCATTACCTTCAGCAGATCCTTCGCAAAGTCCTTCCCATCGTTCAGCCCGTCCAGGTTTGCTATGAACTGCTGGCACGACATCTTTTTGCCAATGTTCTGTAAGGCAAAGAAGCAGCTCATTAAACTTGTGGAGAGTTTTGACTTTAGTCAGTGTCTTTCAAAGAACAATTTTATATGTAGAGCTGAAGCCTGGGCTTGTCCCAAGAGCTCAAAAGGCTTCTGATCTGATTTGCTGTTGGGGTCTGTGCTTTATTTACTCATGCCAGCATCCAAATGTTTCAAATGACCTCTTTTTTACTTGTGGAAATAAGACACCTGAAAATTGCCTCTCCAGCTCTTGCTGGAGTGGTGCTGGGTACAGGCTCTGCATCTCAAAACTCAAGACAAGCACTCCTCCTGGTGAAACAACAACGTTTGGATGGGGCTCCAAGCCTGCTGTGAGTGAAATTGTGTGAGCTTGCAGTGCCAGCACCTGGAACAGCCAGCACTGGGCAGGGAAATGCTGGTCCTTGATGGAAGCCATTATTTTTGATGGCCATTACAAAAAGAAATGGTCCAGCTCCTGGTACTGTGGAGGGGGCAACACATGTACTCTGGCAGAATCTGGCAGCCAGGAACACTCTCAGCACCAGCTAATGCCAACAATATTTGGTACTGATGCTTCCAGGCCACCTGGCATCCCTGATATCATGGTTTCATCATCTGTGGCATCATCAGTCTTCCCAAACCCTTTACCCTTCACTCCCTCAGCCTGCAAAGGTGGAGGCAGGCAGCCTCTTCCCAAGCCTCCCCTGCAATCCGACCTCTCCAAAGGGATGGAGCAGAGGTGTGGAGGAGTCAGTGGCAATTACAGGGTTCAGAAAAAGGAGTTTGATGTCACAAAGGAAAGATGGGTGTCTCCAGTGCCAGGTTCTATGGTATCCCTCACCCTCAGTGTGTGGGGCAGACCCCGGTGGGGTGGCTTGGAGGGGGCAGTGGAGCCAGTGAGGACAGCAGGAGCTGGCCCCGGTGCTCCTGAGGATCCAACAGCATCCTGACACTGCTGGGCTTCACCTCAAGGGAAGGGCAGGGTGACCATCCAGAAGGATGTGGAATGATGGCCCAGAAGAGCAGAGGGCTCAGTGAGGAAGAGGAAGGGCCTCAGTGGGTCTGGCAGGGGATGAAGCTGCAGCAGATGATAGAGGAGATGCCCTGCAGGGTGAGATGTGTCCTCTGTGCGAGGAAATCACCTCCTGAAAGAGATGACAGCAGAAACCCCCGCCTACAAACGTGCACTGCAGATGACCTGGGGGCTTCTCCCCAGATGAAAGCATCAGGAAGAAGTGAGAGCTTGGGATTAGCTCCCCATGTCCCCCCCTGCACCCCCTGCCTTCTGTGTGTGCAAACACTCTCAGGCTGCCCAGGGAGCCCAGCTCTGCCTTTGAGCAGCTCTGTCTGATACTCTTAATTATGCCTCCTGCTGGTGCCAGCTCCAGATGAGCTGGCTCCCTTGAGAGATCAAGAAAAAGAGGAGTAAAGCACTGTTACAAATCTGCAGTGCCTGGGGATGTGGTGTGGCACAGCACAGCCCAGCCCTGGTGGCTTTCTCGAGGGGAGCCCCATTAGCCAGAGCTGCCAGCCAGTGTTCAGGGGGTACAGAAGGGCTCAGGAAACGAGCAGACATGCAGGGATTTCAGCAGAGAGGAGAGATTTCAGCAGAGAGGAGAGATTTCAGCAGAGAGGAGAGATTTCAGCAGAGAGGGGAAATTTCAGCAGAGAGGGGAGATTTCTGTGCTTGCTGGCCAGCCAGTTTTGGACAGCAAAGATAAAGGAAAAATCCACAGAGGAAGGAGGACAAGGAGGCTGCAGAAGGGAGTTTGGAGGTGAGGCAGGTGCTGCCTGAGAGCTGGAGGCAGGGAATTGCTTTGCAGGAGAAGGTGCCCATTCCCAGCCCTGGCCTGAGGCAGGGAAGCAGAGCTCACAGCACCGGCCTCCTTGCCCAAAGAGTGATTCAGCACTGAATGCAGAGGCCAAGGCATTTTTGGAAATCAGTGAGATAACACAAATCGCCAGTCTCACAGGCCCTTTGTCGGGTTTGTCATGTACTGTCTGGGATTCACTCATCCCAAGGGATGCCTTCCTTTTCGTTGTGTGATCTCTTTCTCTGGTGCAAGAGACCTCTGAGCTCACCCTGGGGCAGCAGCCACACCGTGGAAAAGCAAATAATTGCTGAGTAATTGATCTGGTCCTGGATGAGTTCTAGGTTGCAGGAATAAAATCATGCCCCTGCAAGGAACCAGCCTGTAAATTCGGGGTACCAGTGAGCCCTGGGCCACACAAACCTGCTGTGGGCAGACTGGTGGCACTCTGCAGGTGATGCCAGGGGCTGCTCACAGCTCGGAGCTCCCCAGCCCTCCCAGTGCTGCTCACACAGCACTGCTGCTGACACTGAGCCCGGAGTCTGGCCCAAGGACTCTACCACAGGGGTTGGAAGATTAACAGCGATGGACAAATGGAGCTAGGGCCTGCCCAGGATCCCACTGGTGCTCTGCTTGTTGAACAAATCCCATCATTACTCCAGCAGGTGGCCTTTCCTAAAGGACCAAAAGGTACCTATGAGTGCTGGTGATGCAAAGGTGTTGATCTGTCACCAAGACAGTGGGAAAGGACACATCCCTAAGCTTTGTCTCCCGGGCAGAGATGGGGCAGGGCAGTGCTTCCTTTGCCATAAAATCTCCTGGAGCTCAAACAGCACCAGCAGAGCAAGGCAGAAAGTTCCAGCAACTTGGATAATCCTATGTGTATAGTCTTGATGCCTTAGGATTTTAGCTTTTATATTTCTCAGATCCTGTCCTGCTTTAGTGTATAACTCTAAAACTCCATAGGCTGTCAGCTGCTGCTCTCACATGTTACTGAGACAAAACAATTCCTCTCTGGGCCTGAAACTCAAGGACACCTCACTGCCTCAGGCCCTGAGAGATGTAAACAGTGAATTGGAGGGGTGAAACTTGGAGTAAATTACTTCATTACCTGGAAGCTGTAACTGGAGGATTAACCCCTGATATGTAAATGGACCAAACTTTTAATTGTATGAAAAACTGGAGACCATCATCCATCTTGGGTGTGTCCCCCCTGAGGCTTCTGACTGCCCAAGGTGCATCTATTGAAGGCCTTCAATAAATACCTGGCTTTATTATTTTAAGTTTGTCTAACCTCTGTCCTAGGTAGCCACTCCAAGGCATCAGTCTTGGAATGCTTGTTATACTTGGAATGCTTGTTGGTGACCGCTGGCTTTTAAGACCAACTCCAGGTGCTTCCATGAATAGGGAATGTCTCACTTTAAAATTTTCTGGGTGGTTTGGAAATGGGGTCTGAGTGCACCTGAGCAGAAAATCACAAGTGCTACAGCCAGGTGCAAATCTCCTGTTCTAAACCTCGGTGTCTTTGCTGGAATGATGGACTGGACCATGGCAGAGGCAGTGCTGTGAGGAGCTGCCCCTTTACAGACACACATCCACCCCTCTGTCCTCAGCAAGGGCATTTCCCGTCCAGCAATGCACAGTGAAACACTGCAACACACACACCACATTAAAAAGGAAAATAAAATCAAAAGTGACATGGAATATCATGGCAGCATCTCTGACAGGGAGGGGTGGGAGATCAAGTCACACAATCCCAGGTACACCACGGAGGTTTCTTTACACCAGGAGCATTTCATGTGATGATATCAGCTGCTAATGGCTTGCTAAGTAGGGAAGAACACTGCACAATCACTTAGGATTCCAGACAAACAAAATTCCTTACTGTTTTTAACACAAAAAAAGTAAAATGCCAGTGCTTTAAAGCAAAACACTAGAAGGACTGCACTTACCACCTGGTAAAGGGTTAAAGAGCAGAAAGAGAGGTTCCAGGAGCAGAAGGAAATTTAAAAAAAAATAAAAATAAAAATAAAAAAAAGAGGAAAAGGAGAAAAAGAAATTAATGTTACACATGCAGAAAAATAAAGAGAAGATTTTTTCAAAGAAAAGCTCAGGCATTTGCACACCTGGTCAAAAGAAAACTATTTTTTCTCTGCCTAGATATCATGAGAACATTTCTTCTTACCAGGCCTCTGAGCCAGCTTGTCAATGAGGAATAGAAATGGCAGGGTTTTTGAGGTTTAGGTTGGGTGTTTTTGTCTCTTCAATTACGTCTATCTTCCCAGAGTCATATTTTGGATTTTTTTTTTTTTTACTTAAAAAAACTAGACAAAATAAGATTATTTTGGATTGAAGTCACATAGTTTGCCTTTTGCCACAATGCTGCTTTTGCTGGTGCAGGAAATGATTTGATGGAAATAATTCCTTGGCTCCAACCATTTTGGCTGGAGGATGAATGCTCTGTGAGACTGATCCCACCACTATCCCACTGTGTGCAGACAGGTTACTGGGAGCCTTTAAAAGGTGGTGAGATATTTTCTCACAGCTTCTGCTGTTTTCCAGCCACTCTTTTGGGCACTGAGCTCTGCTCACTCTGCTCTTCATCCCAAGGCATCTCTGCTGTGAAACTTTCCATGGCTGCCTGTTACATCTTGGGGAAAAGGAACAGCTGGAGCTCACTTCAAGTTTTGGGAAGGAAAGATCAAATCTAGACCTGTGTAAACCCACTGGCCCCCTTGCAGCAGTTTTTGGGGAGAGGTGTCTGCACCCCAAGAGGGAACAGCCCTTCCCTGGCAGGGAAGACCTCACTGGGAGCTTCTGGGGCAGGGCTGAGCTGGGCAACAGCAGAGGAAGCAGCACTGCCTGTCCCTGCACAGGGAAACTGATGTCAGCAGGACATGCACCTTTGAGTGTGCACTGACACTCTGCTGTGGACTGGCAGCCAAAATTCCACCTGGAGCAGGTCAGAGAACTCTCTGCCAGCCCACCTCAGCTGTCCAGCAGCACACTCAGCATCAGGGAGCAGCTCTGCCCTGGGAAGGAGTAAAGGATGGATGCTCCTCCATGGGCTACTTACATGGCCATGGAGGTCTGTGTTCAGCAGCATCAGGGCACAGGTGAGTGTATGAATCCCATCTGAAACACACAACAGTCACACAGCTGGGGCTGACTGCTCCCCTTCTAATGCAGTTCTGCTGTTTGTTGTTCTTGGCAGCCCAACTATTGCAAAACCAAGGCCAGTTGCTGTGTCTGGGGACCTTAAAGAATATCTGCTCCCTTCAGCTGTGTAAGATTTAACAAAAAAACAAAACAACACAAAAAAAACCCAAACACATCCTCTTTTTCCCCAGACTTTACCTTTTCCTAAAACAACCACCATAAAATTGGCTTCACAGTAATTTTCCTTTAAAAGACCAAACTTCCCACTTCCAAAGCAGCTGTTTGTGAAAGTAATATTCCAGTCCCTGCCTCCTCCCTGGTGCTCTCTAGCCCTTCGGTGAGGTCCTTCAAGGAGCAGTCCATGTGCCAGAATGTGTTTGCACCTCAGTGCTGTGAGCTGGCACATGGGGACTGGTCTGGCTCTGTTTGGGGGGGGATCTGTCAGCACCCAGCACCCCCAGCCCCTCCCAGGGCAGGGATAGCGACCAGGGCAGGATCCCTGGGAAAGGGAGAAGCTGCAGCCGTGTCTGCCTGGCTGTGGGTGGTTGGTTTTGCAGTCCAGCTCTGTGCACAGGTGCCCAGAGGAAAGGAAGCAGTACCTTCAGAGGTGCTCTCTTCGGGGTTGCACTGGCAGTAGCGCCGGGAGAAATGGATCAGCACCCGCTCCCGCTCCTGCGTCTCTCCCATCAGCGGGAACGCCTTCAAGAACGTCCTGCACAGAGAAAGGGATGCTTAGAGATGTGCTGCTGGCTAAGGTGGAGGATGGAAAAGGGTCATTTATCCTCCCCCAGCCCCACACCCTGCAGAGGGGAAGGGATCCATGGAGCTGTGCAGGGAAATGTGCTGCCAGCTGGGATCTGATCCACCTCGGGCGTGATGGCACCAGGATGGGTGGCCCATCCCAAGGGAAAAACCTGCTCCCACTTGCTCTGGTTCTGTATGGGATGGGGTTCCTGGGAGAGCTGCTCTCCACCCCAGAGAAGCAGGATCTGGGCCCTCCTGTTGAAGCTCACTTTTGGAGGCAGTCCCTTGATGCCAAAGATTGAATGACAGCCTGGATCTCCCCCCAGTCCCTGCTCCTGTCACATGGATGGCTCACACAGTGCTGGGAAGCCTGGAGGAAACCCCAAAATCCCACCACTCTCTCCATCCCAGAGCTCACCTGAGTGCTTTGTCAAGGGTCAGGCCAGTGAAGTCAAAGAAGCTGAGATACTCCTCTGCCACCAGCTTGCTAAATTCATTACTGTAATTAAAGAGAGAGTGGTCAGCCCCTTCGTCAGGGAAGAAGACACTGCCCACAAGAGGAACAGCAGAATGCTGCCTGCTGGCCAGCCCAATCCCAGCAAGACACTGCAGACACGATCTCAGACACAGGGACACTTGCTCCTGGCCGGGAATGCTGCTGGAAGACCTCCCTGATGCACCCACAGCCAGCCCCAGACACCTGGGAATGAGACACCTGCCCTGCTCCACCTGTGTTGTGCTGCTGGCCAGGCAGAGCCTGCTCCCAGACCAGCCAGGAGGAGGCCATGGGGATATCCTGTGCTCCTCCAACACCTGATTCCCTCCCAGTGCTGGATGTGTCCCCTTCTCCCACTGAAATATTCCTGCTCCCATCCCGCCCCCTGAGCAGAGCCCCTTGCTCCTGTGGCAGGTGGGGGCTGCAGCAGGAGAGCTCAGTGAGCTCCAGGCAGGGGCTGCTGGCTCTGCCAAGGGAGCTGGACAATCACAAGACACCAGAAGGCAGCCAGACCCCTGCAAACAATAAACTCCTGTGTCTCCAGGGACTCAGGGGCATAGATGGGGCTCTTCTCCCTGAGCTCCAGAGCCAGTGAACACACCCAGGCCGTGGGATAACAACAGTGGCCAGGACAAGGCCGTATCCCACCCTAAGATGGACTTTTGTGTTTGCTCTGGTTTCCTCACTCAGGAATTATCCTCCTGTCTCTGTGCCAGTGCCAGCCCTTCCTGCAGGAATGGGTGACACTTCCACCATGACGACAGAGACATTCCTACGAGGAGAGCCAGGCATTTCCCATGGGGACATTCCTGCCATGCCCTGCCTGGTGGGCCTGCACGGTATTTCCTGTGGGGACATGCTTGGCATCCTCTGGCTGCTGCCCTTTCAGCCTCTACAGACCCCCTCTCACCTTACACCCCAGTTTGATGCTCCCTCCCTCTGCCTGCTTTGGGAGGGTCCAGGCACCAAGAGTTCTGGCAGAGCTGCTGGGTCACAAGCCACCCCAGGGGGACACAGGAGCCATGGCCTTTTCTCCCAGTCCATTCCCGTGTGTCCGGACACGGAAAGATTTGTGTTGATTTACGGCCTGAATCCCACTGCCCTGCAGGGCTGGGCTCCTTTTTGCATCACCTGGGTCACTTCAGAGCCATAAGAAGCTTGTGTGAGTCAAAGCTCATCTCTGGGGGATAAACCAGGCCTCGTGCCCATGTGGTGCTGCCCATGGCTAGGACCCTGACAGATCCCAGGGCACTGCCATGCTGGAACTGTCCTGGGCTGCTGCCACAGGCATTTGGTGAGCAAAGTTCTGGAAACCCTACAAGGAAGTGCCTGGCACTGCCACCTTCACAGCCTGGGACAGTTCAACCTCCACCCAGCACAAGATGTGACTGTGGGCACTGATGGAGCCGGCAGGGCCACAGAGCAATGCTGGAACAAGAGTCTTCCATGGAGAGTTCAGCTGCCCAAACATTTACCCTTCAGTGGGACAATGGTAATTCTTGGGTTTTAGGTTAATTTCACAGAATTGAGGCAGATGGAAACAAACTGTGGGAAGATATCCAACCTCCATTTCCTTGTTTGTCGAGCCTTTTCTGCCTGTTTGACAATGATGAATACTTTTGGCTTTGGTTTACTTTCTTTGTTTTTTTCTTTTAGAAAACTGCCAATTATCACAAAGAAAAAAGAAGTAGTAAAATGAGATTTCACTTTTTGTACAGCTCTTCTAAACAGAGCTGGCCTGAAAGCATCACTTAAACTTAGCCTGCTCCCAGCACTATAGGTTGGTCTTAGTCTTGCTCACTTAAGACAATGTGACTTAATACCTATATTAATACCTATAAATAACTATCTTCACCCTATTTCCTTTTTCTGCTCTGCCAATCCACCTGTGTGATCCAAGAGTCTGCAGCTCTATTTAGGTCTCATGTCAGGAAATGGTTCAGATGTCAAAACCCAGCTGATCAAAACAAAGCTTTTATTTCAAAGGCTGTGTGAATTCCCAGATGTGGGTCACCAAACATCCTCCCAAGGCGGGAGGGTCGCAGGCGTGAGGACTGCAGGAAATAGCAAAGGGACAGACTCAGAAACCCAGTGCTTGAAACTTGCCCCCTCAGTGAGCTGTCATGGCAAATTTGAAAGAAAGGAGAAGGATGTTACACACCTGAGGCAAGAGCAACCAGCAATGCACCTGCTACAAGAACCTCAGCAAAGAAGGAGAATGAGGATGTTGCCAGGTGATGCCAAGAGCCTCTCTAGGAGACAATTCCTGGGCTCCTTCTGTCCCAGCACCAAGCTGGGAATCACACACAAGCCTTGGTGCTGAAAGTGTGGCTATTTGCTGAGGGACAAGTGTGTTCTGCTGGTCTGGGCAGGGGGGAGACATTCCAAGGACAAAAAATAAAATAAAATAAATCCCAGCAACACAGGTTATATCTGATCCAGGCTAAGGATGATGGGGATTGGTGCCTTCACACCCACTGGCATCCTAAAATAATCTGTTACTGCTACACTTGTTACTGTTACTCTGTCTCTTAGAAATCTCTGTAACTCTCCCACTTTTGAATATTTTTTGATTTCCCTTTTGCCTCACCCAGGCAAATCTACCAGCTGAAGAGCCTGGACCTCCCTGTGTGCCCCTGGCTCTCCAGCAAACCCTTCCTGCCCTGGTACAGGGTTGGGAGGCTCTGCAGCAAGAACATTTTGGGGTGCAGACATGAAAAACCAGGGGAGTGGCAGGGAATCCAGGGCAGCAGCAGATCTGACTCCCAAACCCTTCAGCCTGGGGATTGCTTTAATCTTGCTGGGCTCTTCCCAAAGGCAAGAAGTTTTTGGTTCTGCTGGGCAGCAGCTTGTGACATTTACTGCCCAACACTCCAGGCAGCTTGTAGGATTCTTATTTTAAGGGCATTGAGCTTCCAGCTTCAACTGGAAGGATCAGCCCTGACTCCATGCAGCACACAGGCCTGGCCCTTCCTGCCTTTTCCTGCCTTTTCCTGCCCTCCCAGCTCTCCCCAGCCCCGTGTCTCTGCCACCCCTCCCAGGGCTGGCTCCCACGTACTTTTTCCCGAGCTGTCGGGCCACGTCGCAGCGCTTGAAGCCCTCGAGGTTGTAGAGGCGCTTGGCCAACCTCTTGGCAGCCTCGCTGTCCGCCCTGCAGCCGTTGGCCAGGGTGTCCGTGCTGCCCTGGTCCAGCTGCTCCGTGCTGCCCATGTCCGAGTCCGAGTCTGACAGGGTGTCCTTCAGGCTGGCATCGCTGTGCAGAGACAAGAAACATTCAAGGAGCCGCAGCGAGACCCGGTGAAACCCACAGAAAACGCCACATTTTGTTTTCTTCTCGCCCTCTCAAAAAACAAACAAAAAAAACAAACACATGAAAAAAAACAGCAATATGGCTGTGAACTGGACGTTGGACAAACCCGCCTTCATTGCAGCTCCAATTAAATAGTGCAGCCTAATTGCAAATTGGTAGAAAAGGTTGGAGGGAGGGCGGCTTCCCCCTGAGAAATGAGAATGCATCAAAGCAAGCAGCCTCAACACCTTTTAAGCTTCCCCTCTCCCCACTGGGGATCCCAAGCTCTTTCCAAGCCATGGACATCCTGGAAATCTTAGGGATAGATGCTGTGCTTTTCACTTTGGGTTATTTGCTGAGGATGAGAAACTGCACTTGTATAAATCATGTCAGTGGGACTGGCACCAGACCAGTTTTTACTGCCTCGTGGCCAGCTGTGCCACAGACAACACTCTGAGCACGTAGGTGTGGATACAGCCCTTTATTTTCCTGGCCAAAGCCACTTACAGCACCATTTTTGAGCAGTGTGACTCACTGCTGGCCTGATGGCTGGGCATACAATTGCTCCAGCTCTCCCCTGACCTGGTTGCTCATCACCTGGCTTCCTCACGCAGGGAACCCCCTGCAGATGAGCTGCTGCCTCCCAGGGGTGATGGTTTGGGTCTGAGCTGGTCCAGAGGATGAAGTCTCTGCTGATCTCCTCGTTGCCTGCAGAAGAACCTTTGGGGAGGCTTCTGTAAGGGAAGCTTTGAGGTTTCCCTGCACTTCAGAGGCATTTGGGAGGGCACCTGACCATCCCCAACCTGCCAAGGGCTTTGCAGGTGCAGGTGAAAATTTTCCTGCTGGTGTTTGGCCTTTCTGGCACAACAATACATGCAAGGAAGCACAAGGGGTGACACAGCAGCTCCAACTCAATCACATCCACCGAGCCTTGCCCCTGGACTGGGATCTCATAAGAAAAGGAGCCACTGTCCAAGAAACTCCCTGCCTTACCTGATGGAGTTAATGATCTTGGTGGCATCTTCCTCTGAGCCTTCCACGTGGAACCCATTTGGAATACTCTTCAAGGACAGCCGGCTCAGCACGTTCTCTGACCTGCTGCTGGTAATTGAGTGTCTGAGAGGGCTCCCAAAATCCCCCTCCGCTGGCTTGGCTGCCGCCTGCTCTTGCTTATCAGCAGCCATGTGGTGAAGGGCTTCTCTCTGCTGGGCTGCCAGTTTCTGCTCCAAGAGCTCGGGGCTCTCCTTGGCCCTTTGCTGGATCAGTGGGGTGAGCGGTGCCTCAAAACTGACACAGCTGTCTGTCTCGTCTGTGAGGGAGAGCACGTCCAGAGAGTCCAGGCTGCTGTAGTACGTCCCCTTCATAAGGTCAGACTCGATGATCTTCTCAAAGGTCGAGCTGAAGCCATCCCTGATGTCTTTGAATTGGAAATGCTCCCTGTCATCATCACTGCAGCTCAGCTTGGCATCTCCAGAAGCAAACCTGGAGCGAAAGGAGAAATGTAGAAAATACTGTCAAGGCAATTCTGGCCGTGTTCCGCTTGGAGCTGGGAGGCAAGAGAAGAGGCAGAAATGGCTGCTGTGATAATGGCCCTTGGGATCTTCCTGTGGTATAACCTACTTGGTTCCCAACTTTGTTACAAGATTCTAGAGCTGAAAACAAAACCAGTTTTGTGATGAGCGATCCCAGAGGCCCAGCCAGCCCTTCATTTTGTCATGTTCCGGTAAAAGCCAGACCTCTGAACTGGAGACTTTTGCATACAACACCTGGATCCAGTGCTAGAATAACCTCGTGGTTTTTACTTAGCAGGTCCCACATAGCCATAGTCCCAAGGAAGACATCCCTGCTCTTTCAGTACCCATACAGAATCACCTCTATTACCTGCTCACACCACAGACCTCGTACATTCCAGCCCTATACTTGTCCCTGACGGCCCTTCACCATCCCCATGTCCCTCCTTTGGACACTTCCTAACAGCTTTAGATCTTTCTCATATTGTGGTGGCCAGAACTGCCCCAGGGCTCGAGGTGAGGCCACCCCAGCTCAGAGCAGAGTGGGACAATGCCCTTCCTGGCCCAGCTGGCCATGCTGGGCCTGATGCCCCCTAGGACATGGTTGTCCCCCCCAGCTTCCAGGACACCGCTGTCTCATGTTCAACTTGCCATCACAAGTTTGCTGTTTTGGTGGAGCGTGGATCCTGCCAGAGAAGGACATGATGGAAACCAGGACTTTCTTGCCTCTGTACTGCAGTCTTTCTGCAAAGTTTTTCTGAAACTTTATTTGATGGAATGTGAATTTTTTGACAGCTATATGTTGCCATGGGAGGAAATGTGTGGGCAAAAGCCGCAGCCCCAAAACTGCAGGTGCTGAGTGTGTCTACAAGCAAAAGGTGGGGATTTCTCTGGTAAAAATTTTGCTCTTTTTCCATGAGTTCATGGGGCTGAAAGTTGAGATTATCATTCCCTGGCGGATCTTGCAGTTGGACTGCAGAGCTGTGACCTCCCTGACATCAGCAGGGCCAATGCTGGGGGATTCTGAGGAGGCGAAAGACCTCTAGGCAACACAGCCACATTGAAAGGAAAATGGGGCTCTGACAAACAGTAGATGCCATGGGATAAACCAGAAAGGAAAAAAGGGATTCAGTTAATGCAAACTGCAACACACACCCTCAATCTTTGGTTCTATTTCCCTGATTTTTTTTTTACCAACCAATTCCTGCATAGAAGCACTAACCTACCTTCAGGAGGACAATCATGGGTTCTTTCTCCAGCTCTACCATGGAGTGATGACCTTGGATGACTTCCCCCTTTAATTCTCCATTCCACTGGGAAGAGCAAGACTCAACACCTTCTTGTGAAATACTTTAAAATTCAGGGAGAAAATGCATCATACAAGCAGTAACGTGCAGACGATGACAAATGATTTGTCATCAGGAACAAATAGCTGACTGCTCATTAGTAAAACATCGGTTTTTAAACCAGGCTCTCCTACACCCAGAACGGGTCATTACAGCAATTCCTCGAAGGGGAATAAAGAAAAAAATGGGGAAGCTCAGAGGTGATGCAGGATGACAGCAGCTTCCTGGTGCTTTGGTCCATCTGTCAGTTCTTCCTGACCCACACTGACCCAGGAGGGCTGGACAGTCTGTGTGGTCAGGGCAGAGCAGCTCCACGCTGGGCTTGGCCCAGCCACACGTTCCTGCCATTTACCCTAAAGATAGGTGGGCAAAGCACAGATGAGCTCCACCACAGTGAGCTAACCCGATCTGCAGGCACTAAGTGCTTTCCCAGACTTCAGCTGTGTCCCAGAAGTTTTCCAGCTGCCCTTCTGCTTTGAATATAGCGTGTGACTTGTCCCTTGTGCATTCAGCCTCCCAAAAGACTCATTTGCTATCCAAGTGAATATGTTCAGAGCACCAGATCACGGACTCTGCATGCAGACCCCAGTCAGGTTGCATCATCCCCAGATCCTCAGCCTGCCACTTCTACCAATTCATGCCCTAGTACCTTAAAATAATTGCACTTCCAGTGATTGCAGCAGCATTCTCTGACCACACTTAGTTTCCTCTTGAACTCGCAGTCTCTGCCAGGGAGCCACCTACCAAGCAAATATGATTCCCCTGAAACCTGAGACACTTGCAGCTATCCAAGACCTGACTGCATAGCTCACGGGGCTCGTGGGACCTGCCTGGGGACAGGCTCCCCGAGCTCTGCGGGCAGCAGCAGCCTGCCCTGGACGCTTCCTCTGCAACACCTTCAGTTGTGCTTTTTGAAGCAGTGCTGCTGCTGGGGCTCTCGAGCGAAACTAACCACAAACTTTTTATAAAGAAGCCTGTTCAACAGCAGAGAAACAAAGCAGGAGGGATGCCTGCTGTCAGCCCGCGCCCTGCGTGGCTCCCCAGCTCGGAACGCGCAGCTCAGCGCAGAGCCTGCTTGGGGCTGGAGCTAGGAGCTGACCCCCAGGCCACCTTGGCCACTCTGTCCCTTCATAGCTCCTCTTCAGAAGGCCACACTCCCCTGGGACAGCCCCTGCTCTCTTCTTCGGCCCCTCCTGCTTGCAGTATCTCTCCTGCCCTGCGGTAGGTGCACAAGGCAGGGCTGTAAAATTCACAGCAGGCATCAGCCCTGGGTGGCTACAACACAGAGCCCTGGCTGGTTTCTGGTGGCAAAGGGAAGCATCCATACCCCTCCTGCAGGAATGGCAGGGGAAGAACCTTCATCCTCTCCTCACCCCAGTGACCTGTCAGTCCCCCTAAGCCCCCAGCCTGCAGAATCCCATGGAGGTCTAGAAACCTGCAGAGGCATAAAATCAGCTATGGATACCACACCAGCCTGGAGAGTTCTCCTGTGAGCCAGACGAGAGGACTGAGGGACATTGCACACATGCAGGTTTGTCTCAGGCACTTGAGAATTGGATGACTCCTGTACCTTTTGTCTCACACTGCTGTCCCTGTCACCCAGGCGCTGGTAACACCTGCCACAGGTGCAGCGGAGAGCAAAGCTCAGTGCCGTGCCCACTTTCAGATCCACAGCTGCCACCTGCTAGCCCAGGGACTATCCATGCTGCCAGGGACTTCCAGGGCACACCAGCCTCCCAGACAAGCCTGCCTCTCCAGAGTCCACAGGCTGTTGTACTTGCCCTAAGTTGCCTCAGGTAACTCTGCCATAAGTGCTGCAATTGAATCTCCAACTTGCAAGAGGGACACCCCTAAACTGAGCACAACCAGCTCCTCTGGAGATCCCAAAAGCTTCCCCTTCACTTTAGTGACTCTGTGAGCAGACACTGGCTCTAATCACAGCTTTCCACATTCGTAACAGGAAAAAAAACCGTGTGAGAAGCCCAGAGAGTAAAAGGAGTAAAACATTACAAGCAGGGAAAAAATGTACAAGAAGCCCAAAGAGAAACAGGAGTGGAAAGCCACAGCCAGCCATGAGAGCAGCTGCAGCTCCTTAAGCTGATGAGTTACACACGGAGCAGAGTAACTCGAACCAAGGAGCTTTGAAAACAACACACACAGCCCAGCACCGAGCCGACCTTACTCACCCGAACTGCTCCTCTGCCTCGTCAGCACTCAGAGCTTCCGAGGAGCCCAGGACGCTGTGCCACCTCTCCTTGCTGAGGGTCCCGCTCGCTGTCTGCAGGCTGGGGGAGCCGCTGTCCCCCGGCTCGGGGCTGCTCCGCCCGGGTGTGTCCCCGTCCTGCGGCCGCTCCCGGCCCGGGGCCAGCGCGGTGTCCACCCCGTTGGCCAGCACTGCCCCGTCCGCAGCGCCGCTCCCGCTGCCAGCGCCCGAGCCCCGTCCCGGCTCGCCGAGCCTCTCGCCTGGCTCCGTCACCGCTTCCAGATGTTGGTGCCGCTGCTCCCCCTGGGCTCGGGAGGGCTGAGCATCGCTCCGGGGGCTGGCTCTCCCGCTGGCAGGCTCCGCAGCCTGCCTCGGCTGCTCGTCCCCGGCGCCGCAGGACAGCGGGGACGGCTGCGAGCCCGGGGAGCGCGGCTCGCTCTCGTCTGCGGCAGAACATGGCAAGGGGCTGCTCTCGCTCATGTTCCGCTCCTTGTCCCGGCGCTCACGGGAGGGATCGGCTCAGGCTCGGCACTACCTACAAGGGAAAAGAAACCACAGCGTGGGCATCGGGAAGGGCTGCCGGAAAGGCAGGTCAGCCAAGCTCACATCCTCAGGGGAAAAGCAGGGAAGGACTGCTCTGGTGTTCGGTGATTTTGAAGGCTCCTCACTCAGGGCAGTGAGATGGGAGAGGAAAAGCTGCTGTTGTGGTGCTGAACCACTGGGGGCCCAGGCACCCTTTTCCTGCTGCTCCCGTAACCCCAGAGAGCCTCAGAACAGGGGATGTGTCCCATGCAGGCTGTTTGTGCCCAGGGCTGGGGACACGAACGTGGCATGGCTGCATTTTCCAGACTCTCTGCTGGGATTCCCTGGTACTCCCTGCCCTCCAGAAATAGGAGAAATAGGTGAAACGGGCAATGAGCGTGATTTATTCTTTTTCAGCCGTTCTAAGCAGCTGTGCTGTGCCAACCTGTGTGATTCTCTCTGCTGATTTAGCATTTCTGCAGAGCATCTTGCCTGCCAGAGCACCACTTCTCCCAACACACGAGTACTGCTGAAGGGTGTCACAAGCTGCCAGCTAAAACTCTGGCAAAAGTGTCCTGATTGAATATTCCCTGGGATGCTTTCTCTGTAGGGCAAGGGAAGGACACTGGTTTGCACTGATATAAACAGTTTTTTGACAAAAAGGCACTTTATTGGCAAATAGACCCATTGATGCAAAGTGTGCAAGGTCTTACAAGCACCATCCTCAGCTCCACAGTGCTGTGAAAGCTTTGCTCCATCATGACCCTCCCACAGCTGAAGCCAAGTGCCACCAGAAATGATCTCTGCTGGAAGCAGGGGTATTCTGCATGGCACCCAGGCTGAGCCACTGTAACAGCTGATTTTGGTTTTAAGCAATATATGTCTTCACAGATATTTTAAAAATATTATCTGTCTTCATAGGGCTGTTCAGCCTGGAGGAAAGAAAGCTCTAGGGAGACCTTAGAGCCCAATCCAGAACCTAAAGGGACTCTAAGAGAGCTGGAGAGGGACTTTGGCCACAAAGTGAGAGGACAAGGGCAAATGGATTCACACTGACAGAGGGCAGGGCTGCATTAGAGACTAGGAAGAAATTCTTCCCTGTGAGGGTGTGGAGGCCCTGGCACATATTTCCCAGAGCAGCTGTGGCTGCCCCATCCCTGGAAGTGTCCAGGGCCAGGTTGGAAGGGGCTTGGAGCAACCTGGGACAGTGGAAGGTGTCCCTGCCATGGCAGGTGTTGGAGGATAATCCCTTCCAACCCAAACCATTTGGTGATGTGGCTGTGATTCATCTGGACAGGAAGCCTGGCCAGTCCGTGCCAGCAGGCAGACAGGACTTTGGGGTTCTCCCTCTAACCTGGTTCCTAACTCACATCTGAAGCAGATCATTCAACTGCCTCAGTTTCCCTCTCAGTGAACCATCACCTTTGAGCAGCCAGGAGGGTGGCCATGTTCAGCAGAAGACTCTGGCTTCTCTCACTTAGCTGAGCTGAAGCTTTCATTAGCAGTAAAATCACTAATTGCTTGGCCAGGTCAGGGCTCTACCAGTTGTTGTTAACAAGGAGTGCAGAACTGCAGCTGCTCTTACAGAGCACCTCTCACTCTGTGGAGATGCCAGCAGCCCCTCCCTGCTGCTGCTCCCTCAGCGCCAGAGGAAGGCAGAGGTGGGATTCAGACCCAAAACACCCCTCTGTGGCCTGGGTAATGTCAGATCCACAGAGGAACATGCTGAGCTGCTGCTGAGCAGGACAGATCCCACAGGGAACCCCAATTCCTGCCTGACTTTGTTCCCATCCCACAGGCCAGGCAATCCTGGACCTCAGATCCAGCCCGCTCTCCGTGTCCTGCTCCCCACAGCTGGGAGCTGTGGTGGGCTGGGGCTTCAGAGCCCTGCATGGGGTGAAGCACTCCTTGAGGGCTGCAGGTGCCACAGTCCTGAGATGGGGCAAGTCCCTCCTGGAGGCAGTGCTGGCAGTTTTACCTCTTCTCCACGTGCATCCGTGTGCATCCCTCGCAGTCACAGCGCGCGTGGCATCGCCACCCCTGTCACAGCCGGCCGCTCCTGATCCCTGCACGGCCCCTGCCTGCAACAAGGGATCACAGAAAGTGAGACCCAGGCTGGAGAGGAGAATCCTGCTGGTGTCCTGCCACCCTGCTGCTGCTCCTCATCAGGCTGGTTCCCAGACCCATCCCATGACTCCTTGGCAGAGCACTGCAAGTGCTTTTTCCTCAGCATGCTTTGGTTCTCTGGGGTTTTGCAAGAATTTTCCTTACACAGGGCTTCTGACATCTCTCCTTACAAAGGCCCCCCAGCCAGCTAAAATGGAGGAAAGAGACTCTGTGGTTGCAGGTTTTAGGAGAAACTCATCAATGTGAGCCCGCAGGATGCCCAGTTTCACCCATGAGATGCACAGAGTGAGATACCTGAGTTTTGGACTGATCCCCCAAACAGCTCCTCCTCAGCCCCATCAACAAACAAGAGCCATTTTAAAGGTCTTTGAGCTAAATGCAAGCAAATATGAGCTACCAGAGGGATCGATGTAGCAACATTTCTCTTGCAGAGTGTTTTACACAATGCAGGGATGGACAGGGATGTGTCCCCCTGAGGTGACCCCAGGCTGGGGGAGCATGTCAGGTCACCACAGATGGTGTGTCCCCTACAGACAGCTGCCTGAGCTCCCAGGCCAGACTTGCAGAGAGTTGATGGAGACAGAAAGACGGGACAGCACTGCCTGTGTGCTGCCAGAGGTGATGGGTGGCTCAGGGTCCCGGTGTGCCACCTGCTTTCCAGTGGCTGGAAAGAGCCCACGGAGCAGCCTGGCAGCAGATGTCTGTGTCCAGTGCCTGCAGAGCGATCTGCTTATACCCTCTCCTCTCCTTTGCAGGCCTTCAGCTTCATTCTCCACTAGCCTGACAAGAGAAAGGCTGACTTAGACTTCCTGGGTCACCAGCACATCAGCTTCCTGTAGCCCAGAATCCCACCTGCAGGAGCTGAGCCCTCCCAAGGAAGGGCAAAACAAGCCCCTGGGACAGTCCTTAGGTTCACACATGTGGGCCAAGTCTCCTCTAGGCTGTTCATCTGCCATTCCAAATGAAGAGGGAAAAACTGGAAATGTCTTTCCCACCAAATCCAGGAGAGAAAATCAGTCCCAGGCACTTGGTGTTCCCATGCACTGACAGCAGGGCCAAGCCAAAGCAGCATCTTCCAGGATTTTACTTGCAAAACTACCAACACTCTCCTGAGCATAACCACACTGTGATCTCAAAAAGTACAGAAAACCTAGTATGATTTTGACTTTCTCAAAGTCAAGGTATAATACAGACATGTGAGACATGCCACACCAAGCCACTGCTCAAATCTTTGGAGGAATCTTTCCAGCAAAGCTTTGCTGGCCTTTTTCTTAATATGAGATGAATAATGTGGGGGTTTTGAGTGAAATTTTTTAAAACAGCCAAAAGACTTTGAGCTGAAACTCTCCACCTCCCTGCCATCCATCCAAAAACTCCAGTAGGAACCACCCAAGCTGAATTCCAGTCCAGTAGTTCCAGCTTGGCACAGCTGTATGCAACCAGAAAACAGGAAACTAAAAGCAGTTAGGATATAGCCTGAGTAAGAAATGTTGGCAAACCATAGTAAGTGTGATGTCCCAGCCATCCCTCCTAACTTTAAGTAACTTACATTATTTATATTAAAAGAAAAAAAAACCAAAAACAACAAAAAAAAAACCCACCATTTTTTTTTTACATATAAACTACTACAGTTGTTAAGCATTATACTACTGTTTCACCCTCTGTGAAGTCTCACTGGAATGTTTGTGGTCTGGAAGGAGAGCTGAGGAATCAATAGTTAAAGCCTTAGTCATGTTCCTCCTTGGCCCGTGTTCCTGCTGGAGAAGAAGCACCACCATTGGCAGGATATGTGCACAGACTATTGCTGAGCTGGGGAGCCCATCAGCTTCCAGTGTGACAAAACTGGGAGCTGAGCACAGCCAGGAGGAGAAATCTGGGCCTCTTGCAGCCTCCTGACCCGAGAGGTTTGTGTGTCTCCACTGGATCCCTGCTCCATGGCACACACCTGCCTGGGGGCTGCTGTGTGCACACAAAGTCTGCAGACAAGCTGAGGGTGTAGCAACACACAAGAAACTCCCAAGAAGACACCAACTGCTTGATTTTTGCTTGCAGTGACAGTCACTTGAAGCACACACAGGCTATGGGTGGCTGAGGCTTCCCAGAATCTCCGGAGGAAGCAGAGGATTGGTTTGTGACAGTCTGTGGCTCTGATCGCAGCTCTTCATGTTCTGGAGTCATGCAGACAACTCCTGCCACACTCCCAGCTCATCCCACGCCAGCTACCAGGGGTCTCTCCCACCCTACAGCTCACCCATGACCTGCTGCCTCCCCACCTGTGTGGGGAAGGTGGAAGAGCAAAGGGAGGAGCAGACAGGCTGGGATGCCACAGCTTGGAAAACCTGGAAGACAAACAGTGGTGGAACAGCTGGCTGCAAGTGTCCACATCTGCCTCCAGCAGACAGCTGAAAGGTCACCAGCTCTGGACAAAGCCCAAACCCAGAGTCTCAACACCATTTTCTGTTTGCTCTGGAAAGCACAAAAGTGCAGCTCAGCCTCTGAAGCTGCCACAGCTTCAATCAAGCTGTGGGGGGGAGGACACACTGCAGCACTGGGCCAAGAGATGGGGGGGATGTTCAGAGGTCCTTCTGGGGCTCCTCTGACTGTCCCAAAACTGCACAGCCTGGCTGCCTTGGACTGCAGGCTGGCATTCCCCAAGTCCCTCCTCATTTCCTTCTGATTCTGCTTTGCAAAGTGCGCTCTGAAGCAGCTAAGGGCTGAAAAGTGGTATGTGGGTTCCCATCAGTGGATTCTCATAAATTTTGCCCTTTTTGCAGGCTCAGAGGCACCCTTTCAAAGTGACTGCTCCTCCCTAGGTCCTGGGAATAGGGTGG